TGATGGAATTCATTAAATATAATAAGGGATGAGATCCCCAAAAATCAAGTGTAATATAAATAAATTAAAGAAAATTAATAGTGCTAACGGGTGTTTTATTTATTTATTTTAATACAAGTCTAAATTATAAAGGAGAGGGGAGTTTCTCTCACTCACACACACTATCAAGGTGTCATTGAGATTTGAACTTGAGGTCACTGCTCTACAAGTCAAGGCCCTTTTCCATTGGGATATAGACCCCTTTGGCACAAACATTTTAGACATACATAAAAAGACATGTAATAATATTAGAGTGCTACTATTTTCACCTTATGTCATATTTCCCCACCCACCTTAACTTAAAAAATTTAAAGACAAATTTACCCATTTATAAAATGAATTTAAATTAAGAACTTAGGGAAAAAACCTAAACTCACATAACCCACCTATTCTACCATTTGACAAAAAGGAAATAAAAAAAGCATAAGACCCATCGTCTTCTTCTCCTCCCTCCAACAACACACATAGCAACACCATAACCACTAGAGGACCTATTAAGGGTATTTTAATAATTAAAGGGTGGAAATGCTTGAATTAATAATTAAATGGTATTTTAAGAATAATGGTTGGTGAAAAGATAGGATTGTGTATTTTCAAATTTAAATGGGTGGGAAGATATGGGTGCGGAAATAGGACATGAGGTGGAAATAACAGCACTCTAATATTAATGCTAACTTGGTGACATGGACAAAAGTGATAACGCCTAAATAAAAAATAACAAGGTCGCTTTCACCAAAAAAATAAGGCCACAAATGTTTAAATATGAGTTGAATCCGGATCCTCTACTTGATTTTTCTTTGCTTGAATCTGCTTGACTTTTAATATGAATTTGTCACCTCATTAAAAAAAACCATCCAAAGACTAAAATGTTGATACTGCATATTCTTTTTCTTAACAAATATGAAATTAATGATAAAAATGTTATAAATCTATGGAATGTGAATGACCACCATAATATCCATTACCTCCACCCCTTATTGCTTTGTAACCTATGCCCTTATTATTGTAATTAGTAGCTATAAATTATGGGTTAAATACCTCTATTGTAAGCCTATAAATAGACGCTTATAAAAAAATGAATAAGATATGTTGATACAAGGTCATAGAATAAATTCTTTGTATTTCTCTTCCTCTTATTGCTATCTACAATTCCCCTTAGTTTTATAACAAAAAAAGTTATTTTTTTTGTTGCTTTCTTAAGGAAAAATTGTTCTCAAAGAGTATGACCCTTATTGGAGATTATGCAACTAGCAGAATGAGATAAGTACCCTTCCCCAAATCAAATTCTTCTTCTTTGGGGATCTCTATTCAAGTTTCTTGTTTGGTTTTTAAAATCAAGTTCTTATTAATGGATTATTTTCTTCTTTCATTTTGATGCCTAAGAAGGCTTGATTGGAGACGTGTGGGTTAAATATGGTTTTCTTATGAATTGCATAGGCTATATGATGAAGAAAAAGAAATTCATTTTGTATATATAAAAAAATTAATAATTTAAAAAAATGCCCAAAAGCGTAAAAAAGAAATGTGAGGGTTCAAATAAACAATTTGTAGCATACATGGGTTTGCCCAATTGGCCAACAGTGCATACTCACCCCTTTGCAACCGAGTTTAGGCCCGTCCTGATAGAATAATAAGATATCATTTTGTAAAGAAAAAAAAACTTGCACTCATATTCTTGCAAGTAATGATAAAATGTTTTGCACAATTCATTGAAGAAGCAAAATTTAGTTCTCATAACTTCGTTGCAAATTATTAAGAAGTTTCAAAACACCAAACTAGCCACTGCAATATAAAACAGAAGGAACAACAAAGAAAACAAGTTAGAACACTACAATCATTTAAGGATGGTCATTAGCACAAGTTTCGGTAGAAAATTGGAGTGAGTTGATGGTGCCATCGTAGGTGACCCTCATATTTTGCTGATGCCATGCTCCTAGTATAGATTTCCCAGTTCCTGGCATCATTGCTACGCAAAAATAACATGCCTGAGTATTATAGAAATTCACATACTTTGGATCAACAACATAATTACCACCTTCCAACTGGTATGTCAAGGAGGCAAATTGATTAAATTCCGGAGGATATTTGTAACATAATGGAAACCCTTCAGGCACTCTACCCAGCCTTTGAAGATGGAAAGAATCATAATGATTCTGAAATGCCCTCATCACCTCCCGGTACACGTTGCGTCCATTAACGAGATTTTGATCAAGTTGGGAGATTAGGGCACCGGAGTTGATGAAGAAACCATCGGATAAGCCTATCCTAGCCGTAAAGGTGCCCGGCGGAAACATTAACGGGCGCATTCCAACACTTATGTCCAACAGATTTAAGTGGTAATAATGTGATCCTCCTGGTGTGACAAATGGACTTGTGTAAACATTTGAAGATGGTAAGGGTATGGTATCCCCAAACCTTAGCACACTAGGTTGCATTTGTGCTTCAGCAAGGACGGACCATATGCAGATAGCCCATGTGGCTTTTTTTTCCCAGCCCATAAAAAAATTATAGCCCAGCCAATTGAATAAGCTGCCATCCTAAGGAATTCCTTGCAATGCACATGGAGAATAAAATGGAGAAAAGGAAAGAAAGATACATAAGGAAAAAAACAATGCACAGCCAATGGAAAAAAAGAAAGAAAAGTAGAAGAAATTGTTTATGTCCCCCTTTAACTAGGTGTATTATTATTTGTTATTATCAATGAAATTACATCATACGGTTGAGTTTTCTATCTTCTTGTTTATATGTAAGTTAAATTTAGCCCAGTTAAGTTTGAAATCATGAGTCAATTTTTGGAAAGTCTAATTCAATAAAGATAAATTAGCGAAACTAAATCAGGAGAGAGAGAGAGGGGGGGGGGGGGGGGGGGGGGACACCAATCATACTGGTTTGTAAAGGAGCAAAATGTTGCATTAAATTATGAGAAATTTAAAATGTAAATTGTCTATTTTACCCAATTATCCAATCATCTTTAGGGAGCATTAAAATCAAAAGTAAAATCTTCTCGCTAGATCCAATAACTCTAACACACATCCATGCAACCTTAAGCACTTTCTTCGTCAAACTTCCACATATTTTGACTTTTCCTCTCACAATAACTAAACCCTACATAGGAAAAAACAAGCTACTCTTAATGGATGGGATGTCAAATGGTAGTTGGAAAGCCTCCAAATAAGTTATAGGTCGATTGCTTGAGTTTTTTTAAAAGCTTTTTAAGAGTTTGTCATCGTGATGGTTGTGATTCTGTTCGGTAGATCAACACCAAATGTGGATCAAGATTTTAGTGAAAATATGTCGTATAGATCTTTCTTGTTCATTCAAATGCTACCAAACAATCTAAAGAGTTATTCATTGTAGTGTCATTGGAGCGATATAGATTTTTCAGTGACATTCCACCTAATTTTGTTTAAATCATCAAAGGATTTTGTAGAACAGTAGGAGTTTAATGCATATTTCTTTTTCTTTTGAAGGCACAACAATAAGGTGATGCCTCTAATCGAGCGGTAAGTTATGGCAGTGGCGGGGCTTCCAGTGGTTGGGTCAATGGTTCCAATCAGATAACGGAAGTGTGGGTTGATATGTTGTTCAATGACTTTGGATCGATTTTCAAACAACGTTTTGGTTTAGCCAAAAATTTGTGTTAGGGTTGGAATTTTATTTTACTTGCTTTTGTTTTACTTTTAGTAATTAATAGGTTTGGATTGGGTGTATAGATAAAATTATGTAATGTATTGTGGGTTCTTCATATAGAGTGTGGGGCTGGGCAACCGCACATGGCCTCCAGAAAAATAAAACTTCCTATAAAATCTTTAGTCCAACAATTAAATAAGCTAAAAAGGCCTTTTAGGTGTGTGACTGATACTTTCAAAGCTATACCCGGAAATTTTTCGAGCCTTTTTCTTTACTTTTCTTATAGCGGGTCTGTTTTATTTAAACTAACCAACTTAGCACTTAAACGTGGAACTTTTTACTTTTATTTTTGTACAAAAACAGTTAAGTGTTGAATATAAAAGGTTTCAACTTTTATTTCTGTTTAGGGTCTCCAAAATCAATGAACCGGTCCAACTAGGTGATTTGGTTGGTTTTGACGTCTCGCCAATTTTTTGCTCACCCTCACAATTTAGACCTAGTCAAATGGCAAGACATGGCTGGTTGAACAGTCGTGGGTTAGGCTAGTGGGCTAAAGCCCCTTGCACTTAAGTTTGATTAACGTCTTCATACATTATGGTAGTTTAGAATATCGATTTGTTGAAGAAAAAAAAACATGGGTTGTTGAGCTTGAGAACAATCTAGCAAATACACCCAACCGCAGCATATAAAAACCTACAAAATACCTTTTAGAAACCAAAACGCATTGTTTGTAGTCTGTAGTACTACCTGTGAAAGTAGAGAAAGTTGACGGAGTACTTTAATGCAAAAGATGCGCGCTCACATGACTATTTGGTAACACTTCTCTCTGGACTGAGATTTCAGAGAAGAAAAGCCATTGTATTTGTAGATTTCAAAGTCTCACAAAACACACCCAACAAACCCCTTCCACCAAACCCAACCGTCATAAAGAAATAATAATCAAAATTAAAATTCAATATTTCTGTCTGGCTGCTGTCATATATTTATTAGATTACTCTGTTCTACGAAAGCTACCCCGATCATAAAATCTGAGGGGAAAAAAGAAGTATTTTCCTACCCTTTTCTTTTTTATATTATTAAAAGCTTTGATCTTTACTATATATTGAAGATCTACCGTTCTGGTTCAACTTTCAAGCTTTTTTCAGGTCAAACAAAGCCAAAGTTTTCTTTTTCTCTCCTTTGTTTTTGGTTCAGCAGCCGTGAATTGTTATTGGGTTCCAACTCTTCTCACCACAAACCGACTCTGACCCATTGATCTGTATTGGGTTTTTTCTGTGTTTCACAGAAAACCCACTTGAATTTTCACGCCAAAAATTCAAGCTGTTTTCACCATGATCTGCTCTGTGAAGCAATACTCAACTATAACAAATGGGTCTGATATCTTTTTGCGGCAGAGCACTCGGCCGCCGATGCAAAGATCGTTACTTTTGCCCTCTCTTCCGGTGCCAAAGTCTCAGAGATCAGTTATTTCCGTGCAAAAGGCCTTACATGTGTCTGCGATCGAGAGTTTTAGGTCTCCAAAGCCTCGAACAAGTTTGATCAAATGCCAAGCTTACGAGGCCGACCGATCGCAGCCGATCGAGTCGAACATCGAGCTTCCGAAGGCCGATACTCGATCAGAGGCGGCGAAGAAGCTGAAGATCGGTGTGTATTTTGCTATGTGGTGGGCCCTGAACGTGGTTTTCAATATATACAATAAGAAGGTGTTGAATGCCTACCCCTTCCCTTGGTTGACCTCCACTTTGTCTTTGGCATGTGGGTCTTTGATCATGTTGATCTCCTGGGCTACTAGGATTGCTGAGGCGCCCAAGACTGATATGGACTTCTGGAAGGCTCTGTTTCCTGTAAGTTGAATTGGGTTTTATTTTGGTTTCTTCTGTTTTTGTTCTTTTGGTTTTCTGAGAATGGAGGAGAATGATAGAAAGTGAAGTTTTTAACTGGTTCTGCTTTATGGTCTGAAAGTTTTGGTATTGAAAGTGAATTGTGATTTTTGAATGTCTTTTATTGTGAAAATAACCATTTTGTTTGGTTGCTGAGAAAATTAAGGGAATAAAAAAAAGTGATGTTTTGGTAGTGAAAAGAAAAGGAGTAATTGAAATAAATAATGCCTTATCTTTAGTGGTTGCCTTTGTTTGAGAGGTCTCAAATGTTTGCTGCGTTTTACAGTTTTGAAGTCTTTTGCCAGATGACTTACAGACTTTCGCTGTTTATTATCATTTTGCTTGAAATTTCTATGCTTTCTTTTTCGGTTATTGGTTGTGACTTTCTTGTTGCTGTTTTCACAACAGGTTGCTGTGGCACATACAATTGGGCATGTAGCAGCGACTGTTAGTATGTCTAAGGTTGCAGTTTCTTTCACTCATATCATCAAGAGTGGAGAGCCAGCTTTCAGTGTATTGGTTTCAAGGTTCCTGTTGGGCGAGTCCTTCCCTACATCCGTCTACCTGTCCCTCCTTCCAATCATCGGTGGGTGTGGTCTTGCTGCCTTGACAGAGCTTAACTTCAACATGATAGGTAACCATTTTTTTTCCTAGAGGGAACAGAATTGTTAAAATTCTTGGTTTATTGATCTTATTATTTTCTGAATTGTTAGCACTCTGTTTTCTTTCTTTTACAATCTGTGTCATGCTGCACTGGAAAAGAAAACCAATATATATTAAAATTAACATCTTTGTTGTTAGGGAGTTTGCCAATAAAGCTAGTTAGGAGCTAACATTTCATCAATAAAGATCTAAAATCTAAACATGTAATTTACGTACCTTATCTTTATATTCTTCTGCAACCAAATTAAATTTTCACTCTTCATATTGTATGCTTCTTTATCCTTCAGGATGAGTTTTATCCAGTTGCAGAGTTTTGGTATGGTTAAAACTTAAATTTCTGTCATTAAATTGTAATTTCTAGTTATTTAGGTTTGAAATGAGTTTGCTTGTTTTTCTTTAAGGTTCTAGAGTGTTAAATTTGTCTTTTTACTGTTTGTTTCAGGATTTATGGGGGCCATGATATCTAACCTGGCATTTGTCTTTCGGAACATATTTTCAAAGCGGGGCATGAAGGGAAAGTCTGTTAGCGGGATGAACTATTATGCCTGTCTATCTATATTGTCGCTCATAATTCTCACACCATTTGCAATTGCGGTGGAGGGACCTGCGATGTGGAAAGCTGGATTTGAAACAGCCATCTCTCAAATTGGACCCAACTTAATATGGTAATTACATGCTATGTACTAACTGTGATATTTCCTGGTTCCTGCCCTGATACCAACTGTGATATGTTTCTACTGTTTGGTGTCTTCAGTTCTAGGTATGCATTTGTTTTACCATGTTAGAAAATAAGGCACACGATCCCTAAATCAATAATGAAAACTTATAATCCAAACACCACAACTTTTATGTGTTTATTTTAGGAGGGTATGGATTTGTTTGTTAATTCAATGCATTTTCACTTTTTTCACTTAACTGAATCCAAATTCACAATCTGTCCAAAGTCAAATCTCTTCTAGAGACTACTACCTAAAAAATAAATTTCCAGAGATGTCTTGAATGGCCATAATAGAATGCACATGATGCAAGGGACAAGTTGTGTTGGTTTTGGTTAGGTAGTAAGTGCTAGAAGTTTATCTAATTAGATTATCTCATTTTTACTGATCATGAACTTTTTCTACATGCAAAGTAGTAGGTTTTGAACACTCTTTGGCATCAAAATGATAGTTATAATAGGTTCCTGCAATCCACTTCTTTGCTGAATGTTTGTAGCTTCATTATTTATGTTACAGGGTCTTTTTACGTCAATGTACTGGTATTTGGAAGTGTTCATCAGATGAGCCAATAGTGAAACTGTGTTCATTTTTTAATTGTTTCCATATCTGCAGTTATTGTTAATCATTATATTGTGCATTCCATACTTTTTATTTCTTGTACGGAGAATAAGATACATCTGGCAATGTTGTTGCAAAGACTGTGTTGTAAACGTTGTTGACCTTGAATCACTATATAGGAGCAATACTTTGTTTTGTTCTTGTTGACACCATGATCCCCTTTGTTATTTTTTATTTATACAATTGCCTTCTTATACTTATGAATTGCTGTCGGTTATACATAATAGGTGGATGGCAGCCCAGAGTGTCTTCTATCATCTCTACAACCAGGTGTCATACATGTCCCTGGACGAGATTTCTCCCTTGACATTTAGCATAGGAAACACCATGAAACGTATATCTGTCATAGTGTCCTCCATCATCATATTCCACACACCTGTTCAGCCCGTCAATGCTCTTGGAGCTGCTATTGCAATTTTCGGAACTTTCTTGTATTCCCAGGTAAGCCCATGTTATGCATTGAGCTTGATTGTTCATAATTTATTTACGGCCTTTTCTGCTTTATCACCCCTATTAACTTTTTAGATATTCATGATAAATTTTTGGTTGCCATTATTTCCAAAACTTTGAACTACTAGAATACAGACCAATTGTTGTTTATATATTCTAACATTCTCCTTTGCGTGTGGGTTTCTTTCCCCCAACACCTGGGATTCAACATAAATTGTGAGGTCATAGTATCATGGATTTGAACTAATGATCTCCCGTTTTGATACCATGATGAACCTAACATTTCTCGTTAAACTACTCAACATGTAGAATTAATCTTATATTGGGAGATTGCATTTAAAGAGATTTGAACTCCATATGTTTGAATCACGTACTCTTAACATAATAACATCGTATCAAAACTGTTGTATGTTTACCATTATTTCCAGAATTTTAAGTTGTTAGGATGTGGCCCAGCTATTGTTATTATATTGCAACACTTTCTCTGATGCAAATTCGCCGACTCTATAGATATGGACAAAATTATTTTCTTGCTTTCTTTGCGTGGCTTTTGTTTGTATGTTAAAGATGCCAACAGGTATTTGGGGGATATTTTTGTGGTATGGGTTGTGTCACGTGCTTATGATAGTGATGGCATTGCAGCCTTAGACTATGTGTATCTTTTTAAGTTAGACTTTCTACTTTCTTTACCCTACATTGATGAAAGGTTAGGTGTAGCCCTGGCTCATAACCAGAGCAACTTAGGTGTTAGATGTGCCTGATGTAAATACTGGCAAGGATCATTGCCACTAATTAGGATGTTGATTTATGTAGTGTTAGGTGACCTCTTTCATGCTTTGCTTGGACCATAAAAGTCTACCTAATTTTATATTGAACTTACAAGTTTGTTTCATAATTTTACACCATTATTTAAAGTCGAGAATGGTAGGCGCCTAAGTTGACTCAGACAGGATGATGTTGGGAATATGCTTGGTTTTTCCCTTTATGACCTTTATGATACTAAATCCAATCTACTCTTTTGGCCTAAACATCATTTTATTTCCCTGTTTCTTCAGTCAAAGCAGTGAGAAGCTTGGCCTCGAGGAGGTTTACGTTCATGTAACATAAATGACGGGGAAAGGAAGGCGGCAATTTCTGGTGTAGGCAGAGGCAGGGGAAGAGTTTCTATGAAGATCCATGGTTACTGGATTTTTGGTCATATGAACCAAGAGTGTAATTGTAGATACCAATAAGGATTCAAACATAATCACCTGTTATACAAGGAGTTAGGCAGTTTTTTTTTTGGGTTTTTTGTTTTTATTTGACCAGGTTGCAGAGAAATAATAATTCAATAATATCCAAGACTCTCTCTGCTTTGAGAAAGCAAAATGTCAATGTGGACCTTAGGCTTATTCGCATTTCGTGTTTAGAATCTGAGACTATGATTAGAGCATATTCCATTTGAGTTGGTGGGTAAGCTTTAGAAATCATGAGCTTTTGTATTTCGGATTTAATATGAGTCAGCAGCATCTGTTTGGTGCAGGTTTTGTTTCAAGTGTGCTTTTAGATAATTGCAAATGCATCTTTTTAATTATTTAATCACCCACTCATGTTAATTAAACATATATGACCAAGAAAAAGAAAAGACGATGGGTCAGATGCCAGGCTACTACCATGGTCACAAAAAGGTTTTTGGTCTTTTTATACAACATCCTCTAATAAAATGGAGCCACAAAAGATTTTATCAAAGCTTTTGAAGAAGCCTCTGGGGGCTTGTAACTCAAATAATTAAGAGTAGGTATCCCTACATCATAGGTCCAAAGTTCAATTCTTCTTCCTCTAATATCGTTTGTATAAATAAAATTATATTTTGTTACAATAATTTTGAGAACTTTTTCTTTTTGTTAAATTTCAGTACATCCCCTTTTATGAGTAGCTAGTCATACCCACGTCAAAAGTTTTTATTTTTTTCTAAGGGTGTCGATAAATAAATAAAAATATATTTTCTTAGTTTTTTTTTTAAAAAAAAAATTGCATTAGAGATCTTGACTGTAGAGATTGAACAAGGTTGTAGCAGCACTGTTATTGTATTAGAAACAAAACGGAGTTTTAGATTAAGAATATAAAAATACCAAAACAATATACGTGTCCCAAGTTTGTGTTTGTGTTTTTGTCTACGTATGCATGAAGGGGACAAATAAAATATTTCTTGTTCATGTACAAGAAAGAAATCGAAATCTCTTTTGGGTAATGGAAAGAGTCTCTTGTTCATGTCGTCTTGTCCTCTTAAAATATAAAAACTATGACCCTCTTGTTTTTTTTTCTTTAATGAATCTCACACAAATAATTTTTTTAAGAACAAACAGAAGTAAATACAAGAGATGTACAAGAAGAACACACCCCAAAATGAGGTTCTTGCATACAATAAATTGGGAAAAATAAATCCAGCAAGAGAGTGAGTAATAAATATTACAAAATCAAGCTCAGCTCACTTAGAGTTGACAGATGGAGAATCGAGAAGATTCTTTACTGCACCTGTGCTACAAAGAGATCATGAAAACTAAAGTTGTAAATATTTAGTTTTTTACTATAGAATATTGTGATTGCATACCCTGACGAGAATTCAAGGCTAAATGAGAAAGCTTTGAGGTTGGCAAATGGGCGACGTTAATTTTCCGGTGATGGGAGAAAAGGACAGCTCTTTTCCAATTAAGAAGAGTTTTATACCATTACGGCATTATGATCTTGATTTTCTCTGTTTTTGTTTTTCCTACCCTTCAAATTGTTAGGATTAGAGCATTCAACACAAAATTGTTCAATCATAGACGTAGCCGCCTCTTACATGTGATCGCGGCAGCTCAATTAAATTAAACGCGAGAATTATACCATGTTAAAATGTGAGCATTCAATTATAAATCAATTGATATCTAGAAAGAACAATGTGATATTTGATTTATATCTTACATGCAAATTTCGTTTTTTATTTTATCTTTGTTTTTCTTAAAAGTTATTTTCTTTCTAAAAACAAAGAAATAAATCCTTCATCAACTGTCCTTTTTCCAAGAAACAAGAATATATATATCCGTGTTGTTTTTGGTAAAAATCACATAGGATAGATATTTTTTGTATGTATGAATTTGGCCTTTCAAGAGTGTCAAAGGTTGCCGTCAAAATCACATAGGTTCTATAAGTTTTCTTTTGTTTAAAGACTTCCCACCGTGTGTTGCTCACAGCATTGCACCAAACAAGATCTTGAATCACTTTTCCTAGGAAGAACAACTTGATTTCAGGCTTAATTGCTACAACGCTCCTGAAATTATGGTTAAAACTCACATTGACCCTTGAAACTCAAGGCGGCCCACTTTGCTCCTTTCACCCCACTTTACTCCTTTCACCGATGTTGCACGATAAGAAGAAAATGTGACCCACTCCATCAAATTCAGCCTCAGTAACAGTAAGGGGAACTTTTACATTAACTGGTTTTTTGTATATTTTTATTAGTTTAATTACCACATCCACCATTATTCTTAAACCATTCTTCTCCCTTGCGTCCGTCGGTTTCGAACCCAAAATCATAGAAAACCAATTGAGAATTTGAAAGGGCTAGATTCTTTAATGACGACTGAATTTTTCTGAAGAAATTGAGCAAAGCCTTCGCAATAGCGATCCATCATAAATATTCAGATATAACTAGATTTGCAGTCTCCTCATTGAAATTCATAAAGTTACATTATACAGCAAAAACGAAGAAACTTACATCATTACAAAAACTGGTCTTGATACTATGTGGATACAAAACTTTCCTTCAAATAAGCAACCCACTGTTATTCCACTTTTATTCGTTGGAGCCATCCTTGACCTATCAGCAAATTGCATTTCCAAACTTGCTCTATAACGGGTGATTTAATAGACACATTATGGAAATAATAAAATTTATTTCCTATGGTTCCTTTAGCTTTCTGGAGAGAGACGATCCTTTGGTTTTGCTCAATCATGGTGGCATCAGACCTTCAAGTGCTTGATGGCAGTGTGAACATCCTTATCCCCTCTGCCACTGCAGTTAAGCACAACCTTGGCCCCGTCGGGGAGTGTAGGGCACAGCTTCTCTAAGTAGGCCAGTGCATGAGAAGTCTCCAAAGCTGGAATTATTCCCTCCAGTCTTGACAATCGTTTAAAAGCTGCAAGGAGAAAAAATAAATTACAAAGCTGGATAAGACTGATCCAGTAAAATCTAGTTGTGTGTGCTTCACATGTAATGGAAACGAGGGACAAAATATAGTCTAAGGACTTAAAGATCAAGAACATGACAAGGACACTGCAATAAGAATGACAAACATCACAGCTTATTACAGGTCTCCACTTGTTCATGTTGTCATCTGCGGACTGTACATTAAGCTTGAGAGGAAATGACATATTCCATATGTCAAACTGATATTTCATTTAAAGACAACCAATCGAATGCTATGCATAAGCGTGCTACTTCCCCCTACCCGAAAAAGAAAAGGTCAAAAGAGTATAAAACAAATCTGAGCCAGAGTCCAATACCTTCCAAGGCTTCTTCATCAGTAATGCTATAGTATTCAGCACGCAGTGTGTCTTTCAGAAAACTGTGCTCTGGACCAACTCCAGGGTAATCCAGGCTAAATGCCACAAAGAAATCAGAGTTACTACATTTCAAAGCCACAACAAAATTAATTGATAGCTAAAAAGATCAATGAACTCTCATACCCTGCACTTATAGAATGAGGCTCAATAATTTGTCCATCGTCATCCTGCAATAAGTAGCTCATAGCTCCATGCAAGACCCCAACTTCCCCTTTTGTCAAAGTTGCAGCATGCTTTCCACTGTCCAATCCAAAGCCTGCAGCCTCCACCCCAATCAATCGCACGTCTTTGTCTTCGACAAACTCATGGAAAAGTCCCATGGCATTTGAACCCCCACCAACACAAGCTACCAGCACATCTGGTTTCCCTCCCCACTTTTCCAGTGCCTGTTTTCTTGTTTCTCTACCAATCACCTTGTGGAAATCCCGAACCATCATAGGGTATGGATGTGGGCCAGCAACGGAACCCAAAATATAATGAGTTGTCTCTACATTAGTTACCCAGTCCCTAATAGCTTCTGAAGTAGCATCCTTCAATGTAGCTGTCCCAGAATGGACTGGTCTAACCTGCATTTCAAAACAGCAAAAGAAATTAAAGTTCAAAATAATTAGGATTAGTAAGAGCGATGCATTGGACTCAAATAAAAGTAACAGTTTATGCCATTTCACAGCAGAGTCGAGAAAACAAAAAACGAAATTCAAAAGAAATGGCCATGGCAGTTAAATTCAGTAATTTGTCCCCTAAAATGAGTGCACATTTCTTGTAAAGAAAAGATGCAATCTGTAAAATGTATCTGATCAGAATGCCTATCTTGCTAAATCACGCCAAAAGAAATTATCGAAAAAGTAAAATCACCCTTTCTTGCACAGCAAAAAACAACTGTCAGCTAACCATTCATGAGATGGCAGAATGGAACACTGATACAATCAAGATTATATATAATCAATAGAAACTTAAAATATGCTAAATAAATTCCCTGAGGGAAAAAGAACCCAAGAAAATTGAAGTATTAGATAGCTCGAAAACCATGATTTGATCTCTGACACAAATCTAATAGGTAACACAGATGGGGCAATAAGCAAGAGTCGTGCACAACATAATAATTATGGAGCATTCAATAGAAAGACAATTGGCTTCTCCCCTTCTAGGAACCCTGTTCTGGGAAAATATTATTGGTGGAATATGCAAGTAAGAAAAATATGCAAATCTCTCGGTACAGTCCAGTTTCATAATTCATTGGATGTTCAGCTTATAAATGTAACGAAGTGAGTTTCAGAATCATAACAAACCTCTGCTCCAAGAAGCCGCATTCTGAAAACATTGAGGGATTGCCTTTCCATATCTTGGGCACCCATGTAGATGATACACTGCAATCCAAACCGAGCACAAACAGTGGCAGTGGCAACTCCATGTTGACCCGCTCCAGTTTCAGCAATAATGCGTTTCTTTCCCAATTTCTTAGCAAGCAAGGCTTGGGCAACGGCATTGTTGATCTTATGGGCCCCAGTATGGTTAAGATCTTCCCTCTTCAGATAAACGTGAGGCCCTTCACCATTAGGGCGTTTGTAGTGCTCAGTTAGCCGCTCTGCAAAGTAGAGAGGAGTCTCCCTGCCAACATAGTCCTTCAAAATGCCATTCAATTCTTTCTGCAATATCATATATTTATCTAATCAGTTACTCAGTTGTATACCACCAAAAGAAAATTAAATTTATCTCCTCTTTCAGGCTCAGGAAACTCAGATTCAGCCAATAACCAAAAAGTAAAAGGGGTTCTATTGTCAGCAACACACCAAACATATTCTTTGTAAGTGAAAAACCGAATAATCTTTTATTAAAAAAAATAAAGAAATTTTCTTCCTCATTTTGGATACTTTTTAGTGCAAATTTCCAAAAACTATGTTTGGCGTATGCATCCTACAATATCTCAAAATTGAATGGTAACCAAAAATTGTAACTAAAGACACAACATCGCAACTAAAATCACAAATTTTATTTGAATGAAACAAACAACAAATCCTACGAATTCCCGAATTCCCTAAAGCTTCGCTGAGCTCTATCAAGATGCAGCTTTGAAATGGGTATATACCATACACTGTCACGTACCCAGCTTGATTCAATTTAAAGGACCTTGGGGCCACTCTGCTGAAATAGCTACATTTCATTCATTTTCCTCAAAATTTTGATCTTGACAACAATTCCAACTACGAAAAACCAAATCAACATGCACCAATGTCCAATTCATTCATATACAATTCTCACCACATCAAAAATTTCACATTTGATTCTCAAAACAAAACAATGAGGGAAAAGGTCAAAAACAGAATGGAAGAATCGATTTTAACAGCACCTGAAAGTCCTCGTCATTAGCAAGAGCATGAAAAGCAGCCTCGAGCTCGGTGAGGGCATGCATTAGGGTTTCGGGGACGTACTTGCCGCCATACTTACCGAACCGGCCGAAGGAATCGGGTCGGGGCGGAACCGGTAAGGACCCATTTTCGTGCTTGTCCTCCATCTGAAGAGGGGCTGAATCTCGGGTGAGGGTGCAGCAGATGGAAGAAGGGGTGGTGGCGCGGGGGGCAAATTTGTGGAACTTGAAGGGCAATTGGGAGGAGGAGTAGGGTTTTGGAAGCTGTGGGGTGATCAGTCGGTGGGTTTTGCAAGTGGTGGAAGCGCTTGTGGAGGCTGCCATTTGATGGAGGTTTTTTTAAGAGAGAGATTTGGTTTTAGTGTTTTGTAAGAGTTTTGAAATGTGACTTTTTTCTTACGTTTTTTATAACAGCTTCGGTGGAATGGTAGGGGAATAGTTTGAATTTTGCATTTATTGCCTCTCTAAAAAAGGAAAAATTTACCTACCACTCTCTGTCTTTGTCTCATGTATTGTGGGCCAAATATGGAATCTGGTCTGGTCCTATCAACATTAAAAGAATGTGGTAGTGAGGACGTGTTCTTCTTCTGGGAGGGGTTGGTATTTGTGGTCGATAAGTAATATGGTAGCTGAGTTCTTGTGTTTTTTTTCTTTTTTTGATAGAAGGTTTGTGGAGGAGGTGACATTTATTAGCTTAATTAAGAGCAAATTTAAAGGAATGAAATTTATGTTTTCGAATGATTCCTTGTACGTAGTCATTTTAAATATACTATATTTAGTTATTTCAAATACATTTAAGTAAATTTAGCATTTTCGTCAAATTCAAATCATTTCTTTCAAATTTCTCTATTTAAATGAAACCTAAGGGCCTATTTGGTTCGCAGATTAAACTTCTTATGAATAAAATTCTCATGTCCAATCCCACGATATGGGAATGGAGGATGTTCATTCCCATGTTTGGGATGCTGGGAAATGAAGACTAGGTAATGCAATTGTCTCATATTCCCATGTTTAGTTAGTGCAACATTAGGAATGAAAAGTTATCAAGTTCCAACAATATCCTTGGTTTTCTTGTTATTAAAGGTTATCAATATGACGAGTTTTTTAAGGGTCAAAAGTGATATTTAAAAATAATAACATGAGTAAGTTCATCTTAAAACACTACATTAAATGTTTTTCCAAGTGGGGGAAAAAATTTCTCAAGGTGAGCCAAGGGTATGAACTTCTCCCCTACGTAGGAAGTTCATACCAACTAGTCCATAATTGCATTCTCAAGAATATACTTACCAAATATGGGAATGCAATTTGAAACCCATTTTCAAACTCCTAACCTTTGAACAAAACGGGCCCTAAAAGATTAGGATTAAGCACATGTAGATAAATATGACAGAAAAAGAATGGGAAGATTCACCCAAAAATGAAAAGGAGTAATTTAGTGTTCCATACCCAATGTGAATTGTCAATTAGTGTTCCATCATATGTGTACATTTTAATTTGACCACCAACAAATTATAATTTAGTGTTTGAGGAGGTTTGGACATTCTTATTTGAACCATAATACTCAAGTACGTGTACCCGGTGCTTATACAGAGGAACCCATGCCTTGCTGTCCCCAACCAGAACCAAGAACTAGAAGCAACTTTGTACTAATTTCCTACATCTTTGCCCTTATTTCTTTCTTCAAACAAAAATTCAACGTCCACAAGACACAAAAGAACATCGGTACCTAGGAATATAATTTACACAAACAGAGCTGCTATTGGCACTCTGAAAGAGTCGTTGCACTCTTCTTTCGTAAGAGAGGAGTGCAATGTGACTTTTTCAAAATGCCAATAACAGTTCTCTACTATTTAACATTTCCACACAGATAATAATTTGTGCTTGACTCACCCTTAGTCCAGCCGTTGGCAACCATTTATAGTGCTGCCCAAGGATACATCCAGATTCATGAAAATCACAAACCACGAGGAGATATAACATACCATGCATAATTTACAGTAACATCCATGAAAACGTATTCAGAAAATTTGATGCTATTCATAAAATCCACCCATTCCCATACATCTGATCTGCCGGAAAAAAGAAAAGAAAGAAAAGACTTCTCATGCATCAACGATCCCCAAATGTTAAACGGAAGGGCATTCGAGTAGCCAATTGAGCCCGTCAATTCATAGAGTTCTCGTGCAGTAGTACATACTCTCGGCTGCAAAACCAAATTATAAGAATGACGTCAAAAATATGCCACAAAAATACAGCATCGATCACATATTATATCAGAGACAGCACACAAGAAATTCCCCAGTAAAACAACAGATTTTTCTCATCAAGCATACTTCTAAGCCTCGTGAGGAAGTGATGAAACACAATTACAAATCACTTCGGAAAGCAGAATCCTAAGATTCTCCGTTCAATTTGAAATAGTCACAACCATCTTAAAATCCCAGCTGTCCAGTAGTTTGAGGCACAATTTGAGTAACAAAACGAAAAAGAATAGATCATATAGAAACAAAAACCATCTTTCAGTCGGTCATCATAGTTTCTGCTTTAGAAACCTAAGAGTCTAAGACAGCTCAGTTTGCATGACAGATATAATCTTCAAAGACTACACACATGTACTCACAGAAAATGAAGCAGCCAGAAGAGTGTTATGGTTCCTTCTCTGATTAGCTTTTTTAGTCTCTTAAAAAATTAAACACATAATGCTGCAGATAACTCTTACCAGTCGACATTTGAATGACTTTCAGAACCTTCCACAACCTTATTATCTTCAAATATTGCCCTAAAAATTGTAACTATAAAATTCATAATTAATGATATGAAAAATGAGGGCCCAATTATGAAAGGGAGAAACGCAGGCATCAGATATGACTTAAACTAATCAAGGATCAGATGACTCAAACTAAATCAAGCATGACCTATGATTTCGATTTGTATAATCAGCTGCAATTCTACAAACCTTAAACATTCGCATGATCAAATGCTCTAATAGGATCAAGCTGATCACTATGCCAATACAAAACTTACTGACAGCCTGACTTCAAAAGTACGCACTTGTAAAGAAAATATAGGGTTGGTGGTAGAATAATCTGAACATGACTCGCATTAAAATCTCCTCATTTTTCATGTTAGAGTTTTGAATTCCAGTGCTTACATGAAACCTTCATTAGCTACAATAGCTTCCTCTGCTCTCATGTTTGGTATGCACTCTTTGGGAATGTGCTACCTTTTACATCCCCCCTCCCCCATGGGTTTACCGTTCCAATTGCCTGGAATCCTTTTACCATTTACTATGATTCTTTATGACCAGCGTAGTCAAGTCCAACTAACAACTTTACTTGTCATGCAACTCCCAAATTTAACAAACATTATGTAGGCCCTTAACCAGCACATACTGAACCAAACAACAATTATTGGTTTCTAAAACCAATTGTTTCAACTCAATTCAAACATAATACCATAGAAACCAAACCAATTAAATTCAGGCATTCAGCTGCAAGTATCATTACAGTCTTCATTCAGGAATAACGCATGAATACCAACAGAAAAAGAAGAAAATTTCTAGGAGACATCAATCTAAGAACCACAAAACCTTTTGGATTATTGATTAGTGACCTACCTACTATTACCAAATCTAATGGTGTCCTTTTCCATTAGTTCATAATAACGTTGAGGTTCAATTGCAGTATCCTGCAAAAGAAAAGCAAATGTTAAATCTAAATTCTTGCAAATACAGGAAAGCCTCAGCTTACTCATACACAACACAAATGCCAAAACTATAATCAAAAGAAAAGAAGAAAATATATCAATTGAGCCACTTACATTAAGAAAAGTTTTATTTGTGCTTCCAAGGTCCATTAAGTAAGGCCTGTGACGGTGCACAAAGGAAATGAGATATGAGATTTGAAAAATTCACCCTTCTAAATAATGGAATTAGCCGCAAAATAACTGTCTTACCTTACTTTCTTTGATAGTGTACCATCAGGTTGCTCGATTTCAACTTGCCTGGCATGGCGGGAAAATAAAATATGATATTAGTTACTAACCAAGAATGTAAATGGAAAAAATTAAAAAAAAAATGCAAAATTCAAGATCTACCTGAATTGTATAACAGCATGTTGCTTGCTACAGGATGGGTGATCTGTAGGGACGTCAGCCACCCTTCTTTCCCTCCCAAAGAGGTAACAGCTTTGCCGATGTATGTACAGGGGTTCTGTAGATCATATGTACATCAAGGAGAACATTTTGATTACCATTAATAGAATCCCAAAGACATGGACTCAGAAATCCCAACAGAGAGTACTATTAAAATGCACAAGAAAAATAATTGCACTATTTTGCATGCTTGCCAGATATGGAAAATCACCAAAAACTAAGTCATTACCAAAAGAAAATGGAATAAGCTCAGGTTGGAAGTAGTAACCATTACACAACGATAGCTCGCCTAAGTAATAGAACTTGACTGGTCCAGAATTTCATTCCTACTCGATCGTCCAAAGTCAATAAAGTTTAAACACAGTTTTGAGTTAAGGGCAACAAGATGCATATAAGTACTCAATACCAAAGGAAAATGCACATAAATCCAACAGTTTTGAGTTTAAATACACTACTCAATACTATTGGATTTGTACCTTTTTTCTTTTGGGAAGAAAACTACCAAAAGCTTAAAAATCTAAAAAGGAAATTTCTACAAGTACTAAAAACGTTAATGTACAACAACCATGTGGCACAAAAAATAGAAACATGCACTATATTTTGGGCCACAAAAATATGTTTCTTCTCCGATATATTGCAACATAGTATCTATGAACAGAAAGTCTCAAATATTTCTTGAACTGTCCAATATTCATTACTCACACCATTGCACCCAATCCGATAAATGATTTGAACTTGAAAGAGATGTTTCCATGAGGAGAAAACATACAGAATTACCACAGGCTGCTTGTCTCAGCAATCAGTGTTATAAGGAGAGGTTAAGTACGTGATGGAAGAAGTTATATGGATGCTAAATCGTTGTTACATCCTAAGGTCACTTATTTACTGAAATGAAAATTGATGCTGCATTGTAGGTTGCAGCCAAGGTCTTACAAAAACAATAAGAGAATCTTCTGTCATTAGCCCTTCATCCTTTGAGATTTAAGAATTTTGACAGTTAATTGGCTTGGAACTAGGTACTTTGATCAGACATGACACATGAGATCTTTTAAAAGCACTGTACGTCTAAAAAGAAGCAACCTGCAGTCAGTACTCAGCAGCTACTTCATTATCATTCAACTACTCTAAGTGCTTCACCATTAAAGAAGCATATGTAGGTCTCAAGAAAGGCACAAAAACAAGAAGATAACTTCCAGTATTAATCTCCAAGAGACTTACCGTTTAACACTTCACCGCCCTTAAAAACATAAAGCCGCCATCTTACATCAGGTTTTCGTCCATCTGGAGGCTCAGTGAATAGAAGTGTTATACCTGACAAAATAATAACCATATAGAAAACAAAACATATTATAATCTTTTTATTTGTTATAATGAATAAACATATAGAAATGCACAATCTCCACAATGTATATATAAAAAATATCAGAGAATTAAAAACTATATTGTAATTAGGATTCTAAGTTAATTAGAATATTTGGTTTCCTTGTTTAAGGGTGCGATTTGGTCGTTATTTAATTTCACGTTGTGATTGTACTTAATTTATTTGCTTATTAAATGAGTGTTGGTTAAGGAATGTGATCTAGTTTCCTAAATTAGGTGATTTTCTAGTTGAGTGTTAGTGATTTGTATTTGATACAGAATTTATTAAATTCAGTCTACCAGAGGTTTTGGTTGATATTTGACCCACATATTTAAATTTTCTTTTGGGGCCCAAAAGTTGAGGCTATATGTTATGATGAGGTACGTGTGCCTATCTTATTCATTTTGTGGAAAAATCATTCAAGATGGCACAAGTTTATGTCTTGATGTTCTTAATTATGTTTCTGAGTTATGTAACAAGCTGGGCATGATTATCATCTACGCTCCAACTTCAAGGGAAAGTGTTGGAGAACAAAAGTTTGTTCTAAATAGGAGTTTAAGATAAGTAGAGTATTGCTTTCCAAGTTTGTTTGGGGTTGTGATCTAGCTTCCTCAAGTAAGTGATCTGGTAGTTATTTCGTTTCCTATTGTGATTAGGTTGTACTCTATTTAAGCCCTTTAAGGGTTCAGATTAGTGCTTCTATTTCTTCCTATTTTCAAAAACAAAAGAGAACAAAAAGTTCAGACTTTTGTATCAAACCCCAAGGAAAAGGTGATCTCACCCCTGACTCTATTAGTTTCTGCAGCAAGCTTTCCAGATAGCTCAAACGAAGGTTTTTCCTGTAAGTCGAGTAGTAAAAGGAGCAAAACGTAAGTACAGTTTCAACCTTCCACACAATTAACAAATTATTTGCGCTACACGATACTCAGAAATAAAAGCAGTATGGATAAACAAGACCTATCACAGCTTGCACCATAGCTGAGAAAATTTTGCATGCGTAACAAAAATTCGATGATGATAGTTATAATTGAAGAAAGACACCAAGCTATGCATTACTTACCTTTTGCTTTGCTTCCAAGGCCTCTTCAGCAGCCTTCATCATAGCTACTGCATCATTCTCATCATCCCTGCCCAAGAAAGCAACGAACAGCTCATCAAAAGCTACATCAAAGCTTATGTACATTAAAGCATGAGCACTCATACATTAAAAGTTTCAAATGAACAGAACCCAAAGTGAAGTAACCTAAAGTTATGTGATCTACCTCAACAAATTAACAGACATGAACGTTTACTATGTTAAATTGGCAATTAATGCTTTATCACTTTTACTACAGAAATTAAGAAACTGGAATTGAGAACAACTAAAATATTTTTTCCAATGAACCTTATCTAGTATTATTAAGAATTGGCATGTTTTATTACTTTTACTACATCAGGAAAGTTTACTTTGCCAAATTGGCAAGAACATATTGCTTACACCGACCTTTATCTCTTCTCTTTCACCAGAACAAATAAATAGAGTGAATATATATATCAAAGTGCAATAACATTCCTGAAATCATTGGTCCATTGCAAGAAAAATATATTTGGATGTCAGATAGTTTTATCAATGGTTCAGCGAAGTGTAAACAAAAAATTTAAAAGATACCCACCTATGCTCATCTTCTCTTGAATTTGGCACCTGAAAATGTTTACCTCTGGTTAGACACTTTAGATAAGAATCATCGCAACTAGAAACAGAAACCACTTAGAAGCATCACAGATAATTGTCCCAATGAATGCAAACGTAATTGAATAATTAATTTGTGTGTTTTCCTTCATTCAAAAAAGTCTTAAAACATACTACCACTTCCACTTTTCTACATTAACTCCTCCTTGGAGTGAGTTAGGAGGTGATAAATAAGAAAAAATATATTTTGAAATGGAAGTTATTAGAGAATAAACCTATGTAAAGGAACTTTTGAAAATCTACAAAATATCAGTGAAATTTAAGAAGCATCTTATTTTTTTTAAAAATGAAATTTAAGAAGCAATAATTTTCAATAACGGAATTAAAATTATTGGGGAGGGGGATGAGACATTTGAAGGAGTGGATATCACCAGACACCTCATCACGAGCTCTGGTATTGGCAGCTTGTTGAGGTGAAAGAGATCTTTGTCTGTTCTTGTGGTCCCGATCCAATGGAGAAGTAGATCGCCCGTGTCTTGTTCTTGAAGACCTATGATCAGTACCGTCTTTTCCTGACCTTCTCTCCACTCTTTCACTATCAGTTTCTCTATCTGAACCCTTTTCCCTTTGCATTCTTCTATCACTCCCTCTGCCATGATTCCTTTCACTGTCATTCTCAATTACTTTCTCCACGTCTCTGGTAACACCAGCAGGTTGAGGTGAGGGAGATATATGCCTACTCCTTCGCTGTCGATCTGATGGAGAAGTACCATGTCTTGGTCTTGATGATTTACCATCAACATCGTCTCTTCCTGACCGTTTCTCTTTCCTATCACTCCCGACGTCTCTCTCTGAAACCCCTTCCTTCTGTAAACCCCTATCAGTTCCCCTCCCGTTACTTCTTTCAGGTTCTTTCACAGCCTCTCTGCCAGCTTGAGCTCTTCTTAACCGTTTTGTCCGAGGAGAAGGAGAGCGAACAGGAGGAGAGGGGGACCTTGCATGCTTTGGAGACTTAGGGTGACCCGAATGTTTCTCTCTTGGTGGAGAACTACCCCTGTGGGACCTCCTATGTCGAGTAGGTGATCTTTCAATTCTGGATGGACTTTTCCTAGATGGGCTCCTCCTACGAGGAGGGTCCCCAACTGGAGATTCTGAATGATTTGAAAGGTTACGCCCCATCAATGAATTTGCAAATGCACGACTGGACTTCTCCTGACTAAGAAAAGCTGATAGAAAAACTAGAAGTTAAAACTTCGTTGATTACAGAATAAAGACTTGTCTAAAATCCATATGAATAATGTGGTAAAAATTTGGACAAAGCAACATGAAGAACTCAGCACAAAAGCTAAAGGTGATGTACCAGTATACTATGTATCTATATCCCAATCAGCAAAAGTTTGTTAATGGGAATGCTAAATCAAGATAATTCAACCATAAATTATATACTATACATAGGGACAGACACCGGGTTTAAAAATGAGGTGGGCTGAAATTTCAAGCCTATTTTTCTTAGTTGAAATGTCATCAGAATCTCTTGTTTATACGATATTTCCCAAATTATACAGAAATTGATAATTACTTCTTCCGAAAATTGCAGGCTGCAAGCCCACAAATTGATAAGCTAACAACAAGAGGAAAACTAAAAGGATGAAATATGAAATAAAACAATGACTCAAATTCAAAATTAAAAACAGAGCAAAGAAAAAAATTCTGCGTGCACCCTTATGTTGCAAGCCACACAATAAAATAACACTTACAAGAGACCAAAATTTCAAAACTACATTGGAATATTCAACACTGAACTCCAACCAAACCTGTAATTCTCACATCATAAACTAAGAATAAGAAAGCCAAAAGAGATCCATATGAAGCCAAATCATGAACTAACATATCTATATACACACACACATATAACAGAACAAACTGGAAATCATCAAATAACTATCTTAAGCCGGTGTAAGTAGCATAAAGGAGAACAATGGCGGTAGTACCTGCTCTGCAACTATCTTAAATGGAGGATTTTCTTAGCTCGTCGATTGTGGATGGAGTTGTTCATGCTAATATATGCTTCACAAGCAGAGAAGCTTCACCTAGAATCTTCTTCACCAAGTGCTCATTTGGGCTCCCTAAAATAGATGGGTTCACTAAATCCCTAAATTCCTTTGTTCCTAAATCCCAACATTAGAAAGAAATAATAAAAAGAAGAAGAGTACTAGAATTGAAGAACCTAAAAAAGAAGAAAAAAAATATTATGACCAGTTTATGGGAAAAAATACAGCTTTATGCTTTGGAGGTTTGACCCCCTCGAAATCTATTTGCCTATTTCCCTTTTCTATACCAATTCAACCAGTTTATAGGAACTTGACCCTATCAGGCAAGGGCCCTAAAACCCAAATAGAAAAATGTCATTCTCATGCCAATACGTAATATAGAAAACCAACAGCAGCTACAATTGAAAGTTAAAACCCTAGAAATTAAAGAGAAAGAGGGAAGAATGAAAGTGAAAAGAAATAAACATAATATGCGCCTCTTACCTGAGTCTTGTGGCTCAGCAGTGCGCTTCAATTGATCCAACAAGAAAAAACTGTAGGCAAAATGGAAGAGAAGGAAAGGAGTGAGTTCTGTGGAGTGGAGAGAGCGTGAAGAAGCAACGTGATGGGAAGGAGACGACGCAACAAGAGGAGAGAGCGTTAAAATAAATTGGGGTATTTTTGGAAGTTTGAAAATTTTATTAAAACCAGCACCTCCTCAAATCTGAGTAATGCATAATCAGAAAATATAAGTAGCTTTTCTTGATATTTTTTCCTGTAATTTTTAATAATAAGTGATTTTCTTGTAAGTTATCAAACGGATTTGGCTTCTCAAATATCACTTAAGCCTTTTCCAACTCATTTGGTCCTAAACCCAAATTTCTCATCTCCAAAAAGTAACTATTTGAATTTTGCCTGGACTCAAACCGTTTTTTCCCCGGACTCAAACCGTTTTTTCCCCAACTCTTCAAACTCAATTTTTCAGTCCGCAATTTTATTAAATTGTTTAAGAATGGTTTAAGTGTAATTTTTTTTTTTCATGGATAACTTTTCTTCATTTATTTCTTAATTTTATTTTTTGAACAATTTGACCTAAAAAAATATTGAAATTCCATAAATATAATTTTATTTGAGAAATAGGTAGATATTTATAGAGTTTTGAGTGAGTTTTGGGGTTGGATATGATTTAGATTAATTTGAAATATTATTTTAACTGTTGGATTTAAATTTCAACGGTTAGATCTTTTTTTTTTTACCATTAAAATAGTTTGGATTTAATATGCAATATAGCGCTAACAATTTATTAGAAGACAATATTTTGTAAAATTAAGTTGTACCCACACAGACGCACAAATAGCAAGCAAGAAGATGACTTGAACATGTAGATGAAACCATAAGCTCTGTAGTTTCCATGAATTCATAACTTCCAATTTTCTTTGAGGTGATAGCATAATGAAATCTACTTACCCGAGATAGAGTTCGGCTTTCACCTTCAACGGCAATGGCTAGCCTGAAGCCTTTCGTCACTAAAAATCTCTAACATAAAAAGTTTGTTTCCTCTCTCTGCAAACCCTAACTGCAAAAGTGCGAGGACAAATACGATAATGATGAAACTGTAAGAGGTGTAAGAACAGAAGAGACTCAAACTCTGCAATCCCAAGCCCTAATTGTAAAATTTGCAGTGCCTCCACGTTACTAGAATACGGTAACTCATAATTCTTGTGTTATAATATAAATCATATAAATCAATGATAAGTTGAGAAAAAAACTGATTGTAAAACTCATGAAAGGTTATTTCGTTCTCTAGACCATTATGGTGGTGCTCTTGTCTTGTTTTGATCCATCAGAACCACATAGTTCTTATCCTTACTCGATTGTCACTCAAAACTTAGTTTTGTTTTAAGCCATAATTCATACAAGGTGGTGACAACTTGTAGTTCTGGTCAATCTGTTTTACTTGTTTTCATTGTTTACTGTTTTATTTACTTTTATCATCCTTTACCTTTTGTATTAGAGAAACTATGAAGTCCTTATTTGTCTTAAGGCATAGAAAAGAACCTCATTGACTTAGTTTACCATTTCAATTCATGGTCTTTTGATTAGAATCACTTACTTGGTGCGGAAGTTCTCTTCTTTTTTTATATTTATTTATATTTCCGTCTATTAGAATTTAGAATTGATTAATTGCTAATCGCGGCACACTCGCAACTCACACTTTATCAAAGTTTGTTGTAGGGCTTTGTTGCATATTTCAAGGTAAACACTAAGATTTCAAATCATAAAAATTGAATCAAAGGTGGTAAGGAAGAACAAGAGGTCATAACACCCAAATTGTCTCTTCTTTCTTTAACAATGCATCCACAAAAAGCTGAAAAAAAAACTAACCAACAAAAACATAGCAAAAGAATCAGAAGTATCCACCTACCGTAATGTCAAAAGAATTAAAAGGTTATAAGGAGTCGAACTCTACCATGGAGTTAGAGGAGGGTGGGCAGCGGCTGCACTGCGGTTTTTGTTTCTTTCTTTCTTTCTTTATTTTTATTTTTTTTCAGAAAACAAGTTTTTTTTATAATTTTTTTTTTTTTTTTTTTTTTTTTTTTTTTTTAAAACTTTCATGGATTTTAAAATTATTTTTTTATTCACCCTTAGATTAGATCCAAGGGTGGGTGACCACAAACTCCTTGGACCACATGGTCCAGAGAACGGGACTATCAATAGGTATTCACATAGATGTATGGAAAATATTTCCCTCTATCCTTAGAAGTAGGAACTCATACTTTTTTGCCAATTACAGTGTGACATGTGTGTAGAGTTTTTCCTTGTTGTATTTTTTATTAATTATTTTTGTAAATGTATTAAACTGTAATTTACAGAAAGTATAAATGCTTTGCAGTGTTCTAAACGTATACCAATATTACATTATAATTACTTGACAGTATGTATTTCCTTACATCTCATATACTTGTGTAAGTAAAAACGGGCAAAGGCCTCATGAGGTTGGCCCTGATCCATATCCATATGCCATGGTTTGGTCTTTGTTTTTTTTTTGTTTTGGTCAAGAACTCTAGTTTCATTCAACTTGAAAAAAGAGAAAGCACAAGATACAAGAGAAAACAAACACTGAAGGGAGGAGTGGAAAACTAAACCAACACTCAGTTTAGTACAAAAGGGGACCCCTCCCAACCAACAAGCAAATTGGTTTGGATTGGCACAACTTAAACTTATATGAAGAGGAAAACATGCAGAATACTGTGGTGACAAACATAGATAAAAAAAATTCATCCCAAGTGATTATGTAGAGCTAAAACAATATAAAGAGAATCCCTTCCAAAACACAGACTAGAAAACCCTCAAAATAGTGAGCGAACCCAAAGGAGTGGTTATCGTCATATTAACTTACTAATTGTTCAGTGTTTGAGCGCTCCTACCTATGCTCAATTGTCTTCCCCTTAGATTTTTAATTTGAATCTTCTATTGCAAATCTCTGAGTTGTATATGCTTCATTTGTAAGACACAATTAGGACTGAAAAAAAGAAGACCAATGAAAACCACAAAGTACAACTTCTACACTGTTCGCGGGAAAGTTCTGTTTTTTAACATTAACATACTAACCAATTTACATTTGTTGACTGGTGAGACCCAACGCAAACCTTGACCCTAGATTGGGTGCAAGGTAACTAGGATCAAAGTGTGTGAAGTCATTTTGAGATATGGAAGAACACAAGTAAAAATTTGGGAGAATTTTTTCTATTGATCTGATAGAAGTTAGTAATACAATGATGCAATAGGTTTTTGTATATGTACGTGAGAGAAATTCTAAGTGAAAGGAAGAGTCAGTCATGTTTTACTTAAGACGAGTCCTCTATTGATAGGCGTAGTCTTGGGGCAGTTAGAGCAAGTCCAGCGGCAACACAAAACCGGGCAAAAGGCTGCCCTCGAGAGCTCAAACGTCCTCCAGTGCGCAACAATGAACCTGGGCAAATGGTGGGTCCCACCAGCCTGGGCAAGCCCACTGGCTGCTGACGTTAGCAGCTGATTTTCAAATTTTTTTTACTGTTGGACCCACCAGCCCACATTGCCCAATGGTTACAAGCCATGTGGCTTCTCCTGGAGCCTCTGATAAAAAAATCTTGCACAATCCAACGGTTGTCCAATTTTTGGCTAAAAAAATTGAAAAAAATATCAATTTTTTTTTAAAAAAATATCAAAATATTCTGGAAATTTTTTCGATACATACCTACCAATATTATTCACTTTCCACACCAATTTATTTTCAAAATTTTATCCGAAAATGTTATCTTGATTTTTAGGTGAGGATTTTACGATAAATATTAACACTTGGGAATTGAAAATCTTATTCGAAAAGCTTATCAAAATCAATGGCTTAAGTATAAAAAATAAATTTAAGTGAATAGTAATTGCCTTAGACTTGATCTAGACTTAGCCCTCATGGGTGGAACCACAAATGGCAAGGCTGACACTATTCATGTGAATAGTTGCAGCCCTTGCTTGCCCTTGCCTTAGACTTAGCCCTTGTGGGTGGAAGTGCTCTTAGCATGGCCTGAGGAGGTGCAACCCACTAAACTAAACAAGTGGGCTATTGCAACTTGTCGCGTCCGAGCAAAGGCCCAATCAGAGGTCGACACGTGGGCAGCCATGAGTGCCTTACGTGGTTTCCAGGGGCAATAACGCTCCAAGTATTCTATGAACCGAGTTTTGTCACGTATGTGGCCCAATGGCGATCAGTCACATGGAAGTGGAAGTGGGCAAGGATTGGGCAAAAATCTAAAGGTTTAAGTAAATAATGGGTCATGTGGGGGTTAAAAGCCCTGTAGAAACCAAAATATAGTTAAACATTATGGCTGAATAGTTTTTTTAAGCGTGCGCGCCCACAGTAGTCATTAGATGGGTCCGCCAATGGACAAACCCAATTGAAATCAGACGCGTGGAGGTTTTTTGCATTCGCCGAAAATAAAAGCACAGTCATTGTCAATTAGAAGATGCAAAATACGCAAAGGTTCTACTATTGTAGTGGTTTGAAGTAATTAATTCCTCAAGCACAGTCTTGAATTACATTCGAGTTCTAGTATCTGTGTAATGTGTGCAGTTTAATATATTATCGGCACTCTCAAATTCTCAAAAGAAGATCCAAAATACTAAAATATTAACATGTAGAAGCATCATTAACTACCACACTATACGGTAGGGTAACAACACACTCCATCACCCAGTGGCAAAACTGATTCGCAAAGCCCATTCTCCGCAGCATCGTTGCCAGTAAATATCTCACTTCATACAGTCGTATGCTTGCACCATATCCAAATTTAAGACCATAAAATTCACCACCACAATTTTTCTTTTTTCTTATTTAATGAGTGGAGGATATCAAAATTAATGATGTGCTTTTATTTGTCTTCCAGAGGCCACAAACGTAGACTGGTTTAAAATTTTAAGTTGCATCGAGATCATCTTATGTTGCACAACATAATCTCACCTAAAAAAACTGCCTTAGTAACATCACGTCCCACAACAGGCCCAAACTTATGAGAAAAAAAACTCAGTTCATTGGGTCCAAGAGACTGAGTGGGGTGGATTAATTTGAAAGACAATGTACATATATTTTACTTTAATTAGTATTAATAATAACAAATTTGTTGGATTTCATTTAAATGAAATTAAAGGGTTTAGATTTGGATCTTTCAGAAAAAGAAGAGAATGTGGGAAAGAAAGTTAGGGAAGGATCCTCTTCTATGAATGTTTAAAGTCACTCTCTCTGCAAGAGGAATGCTAGCTATATTTCCCTTTTATATCTCCTTATTACACAACACCATGTCCTGCCAAACATCGTCTAAATTAAAACAATTTTTATTTGAGTGATTTTTTGTAGAACTGATCAATAAAAAAATGAACACTTATCGTCATGAGATGAGATGACATTGCAGGATAAGAAGGGAAATAGAGAATGCATATAGGGAAATATATGAAATTAATAGTTTATCATCTAATTTCCCTTTGTCAACCATCATATGAAAATCTGAAGAATGCCCATAGGAATAACAAATAGATTTTAAAAATTAAAGATATCTCTTTCACGATTTATTTTACTTTTTCTCTGATCTTTCCAATTTATAAACCCCGCATCTGCACTTGGGCTATTAGACCGTACATAGTTCATGTTTGTCATTGGAGACGATGTACGTGATAACTAGATCCATATGTGTGAAGGGTATGGAGCTCAACCGACTTCAAACAGTTTTCATACACATAACATAAACCTGTATAATACAAATGAGCAGTCAGTTTGTCGTTAAGTGAAATTCGAATCGTATGTGTATACATGTTTATGTTACTTTTACATATCACAAAATATTATGAAAGTTCAAATCAAGCAACACCAATTTAAACTAACATGAAATGCTGAAGTTTTGGAGGGTCACGGCCACTATAGGTCGAAGTGTGGGTCTGCCGGATGTCCATTGTTGCGTTCTAGGAGTTGCATCTCATGAATAAAACCAAGATACATGTCATGTTACACTCTTGAGAGGTAACGGTCTTGCATACGCTTCACGGTTTGTGTTGGTGACTCACAAATAAGCACGTGAGACTCATGTTTCACGTGTTTATCTTAATGTTTCGGCTTGAAACACAATTAACTACGTTAAACTTCCCAATTGAAGTAATTTTTTTTCCTTTTTGTTAATCATCAACTCGGGAAGCGCACTTATGAGCCTCATAGTTTAATTTCATTATTCTTCTTCCATGTTTTTACTTAACTAGATCTCTTTATCGTATTAATTAATCAAATGAGTAGAAGTCAAAAATGAAAATTGCTAGTCGATCGATTTTAAAGTTAATTTTTTGTCATAAAATTATGACATGCAAACATTATACACTTTACGTTCACCTTTTTTTTATAAAAAAATTTTGCTTCCTTTTATATTAATCTTTTTTGTAATGTTACCATGTAGCATGTATCGTTTTATAAATTTATTTGAAAGATCCTTCAATGAAAGCTCTCTGTATATATACCAACATATCATTTACTTTGATGTCAATCAGATTCTCATTTATTTCTATCAACCAACATTGTCACGTCCACAACCACATGTAATCACCCTCTCAAAGACTTTTCCTCTCAGCCGCCGCAAGTAAAGTAAAATTCAAAAAACTTTTGGATCAGTTTCTAATACCATTGTCCCTTTTCCTAATGTTGAAATAATTAACTTATTTGCTCTTCCCCCATCCATCGTCTCCAAAAATCAAAGAGAGACAACTCTTCGCCAACCCCCCCTCCAAACAATCTCCTCCTCTATAAAACCCTGCTACTTCTTTCACTTCAATCCCATCCCACCACACAGAATCAAAGATGGACCGCTTCTCAGTGTTGCCCGAGTCCTACCTCTCCGCCATTGTCTCCTTCTTGCCTTTCAAAGAAGCGGCAAGAACCTGCGTTCTGTCGAAGCGTTGGCGTCACGTTTGGCGTTCGTCGAAAAACATCGAGTTCGACGAACGTTGCTTTGCCAACGTCGATGCCGATAGAGAGGTCCAAAGACAAGTGTTCATTGATTTTGTGCGGCAGTGGGTTCAAAACTACCAAGAACCCACCATGGACAGACTTTCTCTCTCGTTTTCGCAGCCTCAAAATAACCCAAGGGTTGTGGAAAACTGCATCGCATTTGCCCTCGACCGCCATGTCAAACACCTAGCGCTTGATTTCTCTGATCCTACATGGGCTGTACACGATCTGGACGATATTGCTCATCCGACGCCGTTTGATCTGCCTCTGTCTGTTTATAACCATCCTCTCGAATCTTTGACTCTGTCTTCTTGCAACTTCAATGTGTCCGAGTTCAAGAATTTTGGGGTGCTTAAAGAAATTTCGTTGTGTTGGGTTGAAATGAAGGAAAGCACTACCAAGGCTTTGTTGGCCAACTGTGGGTGTCTTGAGAGTTTGAGCCTGAGACACTGTTGGGACATGGACAACTTCTTCTGTGTTCGAGTCGGGGAATTAAAGCTGAAAACTTTGGTGGTTTATAAGTGCAGGTTTACTTGTTCTTACTTTGAATTTGAGGCACCAAATCTGCGTTGTTTGAGGTACTCTGGGACCCTGCCAAAATTTTGTTTACTCAGAAATGGAGGCTTGGATGAGGTGGATCTTGACTTTGGGCATGAGACTCATGGGAATGAGGCAGTGTCTGATCTTCTTGGTCAACTCATCGATGAAGTCAACCCCATGAGGGCATTGACTGTTTGCACCTTCATGCTTCCTAGTTTTTTTAACACTTAAATTAAATAATTAAAAAAAAAAAAAAAAAAAAAAAAAAAAAAAAAAAAAAAACGTGAACATCTCTATTATCATGTTTGGTCACTGAAGATATTGTACCTATATTCAGCATCATAGCCGCTTTGTACTTTGTTATGGTTCATTAATAATTACTATCGTTTTTTTCTATATAAAAAAAAATTACTTGCTCACATTTTTGTAATCTTAAGTTCGGTTGGTTCTATCATATTTCGTTAATCAATAATACTATTTTGTATCACATTGATTGACTACTTTGCTTATAACTTCTCTAAAAAAGATGGACTCCACTAATAAATGTAGAATCCGAAACCTGTATTAGATGTGTGGTCAACAATGTGAACAGCAAATATGATATAAATAACGCATCTTTGTTAATCAAGCTTGAGATGGTGTTAACTAATGATCAATTGTGTCTGTCTGCAGGTTCTTCCAATGGGAGAGGAAGGCATTGGTTCTCCTTTGGGCATTACACAGTTGACACTAAAAACGACGATGCATGACCATGAACAACACGGCATCCAGTATCTCTTGAAAAACTGTCCCCAACTGGAGACTCTGAAATTCGAAATAGGCAGCCATGCCCGTACCAGAATTATCAATTATGTGAGCCCTTCATATTATTTATTTATTAGTAATTAATTAGACTTTAATTAACATATATACATTCTGGTTTTGTCATGGCTCCAGACGGAATATGAAGCTCCATGTGCTGACGTGAAACCTGAACATATGTGGGACCAGACCAAGATTATTTTCCCGTGTGTAACGCAGACTCTGAGAGAGGTTGAGATGAAGGGCTTTAGGGCGTCGCCAAACGAGATCGGTTTGATGTGCTATCTGCTCCACCATGGCCGCGTCATGGAAAAGCTTACTATTATTGTTTCAAGCCAAGCGAGCGGTCGTGGAAACCCAGAACTCTACCGAATGGTAGCTGAAAAGACGCGGGATTTACCAAGAACGGTACCAGATCTGCAGATTATAATTATTTAAATACATACAACAAGACCACATGAGCAGATGCTGTTATTTGAAGTTCGTTTCTACACAATGGCTCTTTAATATCCTTGCAGCCGACGTAAACCTTTCTATTCGTTTCTAATAAAATATTTCGGCGACTTTGACCGGAAAAAAAATAAGAAAGTATTATTAATTGGTGTGAACTTTTTCTTCTGTTGTATCTTCATAACTAAATAAATAAAAATTTCAGATTTTTGTTTTTGTTTTTGCTATCAACGAGAAAAAACACTTACAATAATAAATGCGAAGATCTTACATACGCTTGACGGTTTACGTTGGTCACATTCACAAATCAGCATGCAAAACTCACTTTTGTATATGAGTTTCTTGTATGGATCTCAATTTCTTTTACAGGGGAATATTTTAGTTAAATTAGTTAATTAACTTTCCCAAATCAAATAACCAAATTACGCACTTTTGTCATTTCGAAATGAACAACCTCTCGGTGTCATCTATTAATTTGGTCAATGAGACCCCTTTTTAACGTTCTTTCCTTCCAATATGATAATAATCTAGAAGAACTTATTTCACACAACATCACGTCCCCTCACATATATGATATATCGGCTCAATTTTTGCTCATTTGAACTAGGTTTAAGTACTTGTTAGTAAAGTCAAGTATAAGCTTGAGCTAGTTTCACAAACTAGCATAGCCAAATCAAGCTCGAGTGTAAGAAAAAATTATCTGAACGAACTTGAGCATCATCATTATCTGAATGAGTTTCACGTGAAATTTTCTCCCACACGTATTCAGTACATGTTCTTAACTTGATCCCTTATCTTATTAGATTTGAAGTCGCTAATTAATTTTAAATTTCATACAAATTGTGATGGAGGAATATTATGCGCCTTACGAGTATTAAGATAACATGTAAGAAACTATCTCATTAAGACAAATTCCGTGAATCAAAAGCTAATATTATCGTTGACGAACGTTGACGTGACAATGACAATGACAACGAGAGAAAAAAAACATTGTCACATCAACAGACACCTGTCATTAACATTTGAAAAGATAACCGCCACAGTGCAAAGTAACTCTAAAGCTTTTCGATCAATTTATTGTGTGCGTGCCCTTATCAAAAAGAAAATTGTTGCGTGCCCTTATCAAAAAGAAAAACGTTTGTGTGCCCTGTAACCGCCTCTTCCCCACGTTTAGGAAAATGAAGGAAAACGAAACACGAACTTTTTCGCCAACCCACCACCACCCCCAAAACGGTGCCTCCTCCTCCACAATTCTTTCTTCTACAACCGGTCCCTGCAACTTCTCTCAATTCAATCCCATCCCACACACAAACATGGACCGCTTCTCAGATTTACCCGAGCCCCTCCTCGTCACCATAATCTCCTTCTTGCCCTTCAAAGAAGCAGCAAGAACCACTCTTCTCTCCAGGCGTTGGCGCCACCTTTGGCGTTCCACCCAAACCATCGACTTCGACGCGCGTTTCTTCATCAACGTCGACGCAAGCAGAGAGGTGCAGAGACAAGTCTTCCTTGATTTTGTGCGGCACTGGATCGCAAACTACGAACAATCCACTATAAGCAAATTCTCTCTCGCACTTTCTCAGCCGAGAAATTCCCAAATGGTCGTGGAAAATTGCATCACCTTTTCTCTTGCGCGCAACGTCAAACACCTGGTGCTTGATTTTTCTGACCCCACATGGAATGAAGATGACTTTGAAGGTCTTGCCGATCTGACGTCGTATGAGTTGCCTCTCTCTGTTTATGGTCATGAACAAGTTCTTGAATCTCTGACTCTGTTTTCTTGCAAGTTTAATACTTCTGGGTTCAAGAATTTTGGGTTGCTTAAAGAAGTTTCGTTGGGTTGGGTTGAAGTGGGAGCATGCACTCTCGAGGCTTTGCTTGTGAACTGTGGGTATCTTGAGAGTTTGAGCCTGAAACACTGTTGGAGCATGGAGAACTTCCTTCGTGTTTGTGGAAGGGGCTTAAAGCTGAAAACTTTGGTGGTTTATAAGTGCAGGTTTTATTATCCTTGCTTTGCAGTTGAGGTACCAAATCTGAGTTGCTTGAGGTACACTGGGACCCTGCCAAGGTTTGATATATCCAGAAATAATAGAGGCTTGGATGAGGTGGAGCTTGACTTTGGGCTTGAGTCTGTGTGCAGTTGTTCCATGGCTGATCTTCTCTATAAGCTCTTCTTTGAAGTCTTCCCCATGAGGGCATTGACTGTTTGCACCTACATACTTCAGGTACTCAATTTCCCTCTGCAACTTTGGATCTCACTTTAACGTTTGGCTATTTGGGACCTTTTATCATACACTTGTGCTGCGCTTTTTGTGTGTGGTGGAGAAAAGAAAAGGAAAGTGTCTTGAGTTTAATATATCAGGTGTTTATATTTCCGTAGGCGTATATGCATGATGTTGATTAGTGTAATCAATCTGGTTTAGTGTTAATTATGTCGTTATCTTGTAAACTAGGCGTCTCTAGAAGATCTTTTAGTTACTTCTTTATCACGTTTCATGTTTACGTGTGACTAAATTAATCCTTATAACTTTATACATTACATCAATTGCGACTGAACCGATTAAAACCGAACTGTACCCACCATTAATCTGCCGTGACTCTGAGTATTGAATATATAGAAATAGAGCAAAACTTATCCCAATTTATATTTTGTACATCAACATTTAACTCTCACATCAAGTAAGCAAAAATAAAAATAAAATAAAAAAATCTCCATGAAAATCTGTTATAAATTGCATGCATTTACAAGCTTGACGTCGTGCTAATTAATTATTTGTGTGCAGGTTGTTAGCATGGGAGAGGATTTCATTGGTATGGAGCCGTCTTTTCCCCTTACACACTTGACATTAAAAACAGCAATGCATGACTATGAACAAGTCGGCATCCGATATTTCTTGGATAGCTGTCCTCATTTGGAAACTCTTGAGATCCAATTAGGCCCCGGCAGAATTTTTCATGATGTGGGTAATTTTTATATTTTAATTATGAAGTACGTAGTCTTTTAATGAACTGCAAGTTACATATATACATTGATCTCTTCTTCAGGATTATGAAGCTCCATATAGTGAACTGGATCCTCATGAACTGTGGATCCGCCATCCAGTAGTTTTCGCGTGCGTGACTCAAACATTGAGGGAGGTTGAGATCAAGGGTTTCAAGGGGACACCAAATGAGATTTACGTGCTGAAATATCTGGTCACCCATGGCCGTGTCATGGAAAAGCTTACTGTGATTACTTCCAGGGAAATGAGCAATCGTGGAAACCCAACAGTTTATCGGAATATTGCCAAACAAGCGCTTATGATCAAAAGTGCCTCCGAAAAACTGCTCATAACGGTTCTTTAAATGACAAATGACTTGATCAACCTGTTGTTGTATGGCTCTAGTGATAGGAATAGTTTCATGTGTTTTGGAGGAGACTTCTTGTATAGGGACTGCTCATTCGGCAACAGCCTTTCATTATTGGAGTCAGTCCCTACCCAAGAATCACTTGTTTTTTGAAGGTAGAAGATGTCTAGATCAAATTAAGATTCGGACAACAACTAATACATGAGCAGATTGTAGTAATGAATGACTAATGTGAACTATTTCTTTTGTTGTATTTTCATTGGTGAAATATTGGTGCTTTCTATCAAATGATGGAGTGGATGTTTGTTGATTTTATTATCAAACGTTTGAGGAGAATAGTTTTGCATTTACAGCATGTTATAAATGCTTATACGTTGTTTAAATGTATCTGATGTTATATGTTCGATTTTTTCGTCGCTTGTATGAAAAATAATAATACGATTTAAACAATAAGAAAAGAAATTAACAATTTAAAAATGAATATTTTTTTAACAGAATTGTATGTTATATAAAAATGAGTAGTCCCGACGAAATTGAATTTTCCATTGATGGGTACTTGGGATCCCCTTTCCTCAATACCAAAAGCAGTTTCTTGGGGTCAAAAAAAACGACTGGAAAAGAAAGTTGCTTTTGTAATGATTCAATTATTCCTCATCAAACTCCTACTGCACAAGCTACAAGTTGCCCCATATCCCATCACATTAATTTTGATTCAGTTTCTTCTCATTTCCTGATTTCATGTCACCTCCAAAGTATGGCACTTTCGAAGTGGTGCACGCATTACAGGCATCATTAGGTCTGCGCCTACTGCCTGGGAAAAGCACAGGTTTATTCTTTATTTGTTTAAGGCTTGATTGTTATAATTACCCCTCAAAACTATGATCAAATTACATATTGACCCCCATGCTCTATTGACGGATGTTATCCATCTCATATTGTGCTCCACCATCCAAAAAGGTTAAAAATTAACAATAGGACCCACTTTTTATTAACGTGAATCCATTTGAATAGATTACATGTATGTGTTTTGTTCTTTGACAAATATTTTTTTCACTGTCATCTATATATATAGGTCCCATTTGGTTTATGAAAAACGAGATTTGAGAATGAGAATTCAATTGTTTTTTCATGTTTGGTAAGTCCAAATATGAGAAATGGTTGTCTGGCATATGGAAAAGTAGAGGGAAAGTGAAGCCCTCCTCTTAACTTGGGTTTTGTTTTTCCTCCTCATAGGAAAGTTTGAGAAAATGAGTCAACATTCAATGCACAATTTTCATGACTATTTTGTCCCTATGAACAATTTAGAATTACAACGTATCATTAAATGCATTCTTTTTTTTATTTGATTTAATATGGGTATAATTGAAAAATTATACAAACTTTGTTTTCCATTCATACTCAAAACAAAACATGGGAAAGGAAACAAAGTGAAATCTCCCGGTTACTTTCCCGACATTACCAAACGTGGAAAAATAATATTTTATTTCCATTCTTTGGGAAATGACATGGGAATTGATTTCCCCTCAAATCCATTTTGTGAACCAAATAGGGCCATAAAGTAAAAGGTAGAGAATGATAAAACATTCAAAATATTAGAAAATGTCATTGATTAGTACAAACATTAAGAATTGAAATTGTTAATTAAATGAGGATAATATGGTAAATTTACACTTTTTTATATTAAAAAAATTTAAAATTTAAAACAAAATCAGATAATCAATCCCATTTTTATGAAACGCAACTACCCATTATCTAATTCTAAAATAAATAAAAAATCAATTGGCACCGAGGGTCTAGTACATGAAAGAATGGGATTTTCAAACTCTCAAATAAATCAGTGTAATTATTCATGGGTAAAATTAGTCAGATATGCTCTTCATTTGGGGCTTCACATTTGGTGTCTATGAAAGAAAGCAGACAATAGTGTTGAGCGCAATACAGTACCTCTGTGTGTCATGGGTATATATGTTGTATTTGGAAGAAAATATACTTTCAAAGTTTTGTGACATGCCACCACAAAAACGAATAGGTAAGTTTTTTTTGCTTGGGTACGTCTAATGGACAGGATTTGTCAGGTCCAAAAGCTCCAAGTACGGCCCAGAATTGTTATAATTTATAAATCATTTCCAACTGAAACAAGTAACTACCCTAATTTGGGTGGAAATCAAGTATGAGTACGAAGAAATGTTAAGCCTTATTAGACCTTCTTGAAAATGCAAATTCGTTTTAAGAAAACATTCTCCGAAAAAATTACCGAACAAGCCTTAATTTTTCTAGGAATAACTTTTTTTTATTTTTCTTTTTTCACAAAAAGTCGCACATAGTGGCACAACACGAGCAAACGTTGTGTCTGTTTGTAACCGCTCCATTTCGTCCTCTATAAAAGAAGATTCTTCAGGCGTCTCTTCTCTTGCAGATGAACTTCCCCGCAACTTCTTTCAATTCTATCTCACCCCACAGACACAGAGTCAAACATGGACCGGCTCTCAACTTTGCCTGAGCCTCTCCTTCTCATCATAATCTCACTTTTGCCCTTCAAAGAAGCCATAAGAACCTGCGTTTTGTCCACCCGTTGGCGTCACCTTTGGTGTTCAACCGCAAACATCGAGTTCAATGAACATTTCTTTGTGAACGTCGATGCAAGGAGAGAAATTCAGAGACAAGTTTTCATTGACTTTGCGCAGCAATGGATTGCAAACTACCAAGAAGACAACATAGATAAGTTTTCTCTCACATTTTCTCACCCTAGAAATTCCCAAATCTTCGTCGAAAACTGTCTCAAGTTTTCTCTTGCTCGCCATGTCAAACACATGGGGCTTGATTTCTCTGAACCCACCTGGGATATATCTGATCCTGGCGACAACCCTCATCCGGTGTCGTTTGATCTGCCTTCCCAGGTCTACAGCCATCATGTGATTGAGTCTTTAACTCTTTCTTCCTGCAATTTTGTTGTGTCTGAGTTCAAGAACTTTAGGTTCCTTAAACATGTTTCGTTGGCTTGGGTTGAACTTAGGGCTTCTACTGTCGAGGCTCTGTTAGTTAACTGCGGGCTGCTTGAGAGTCTAAATCTAAAGCAGTGTTGGAACACCAACAGCGTTGACGTCTGTGGACAGGACTTAAAGCTAGCGTCTTTGGTTGTCGATAGGTGCATGTGTTTGGGTTATCAGAGGATTTCAATTGAGGCACCAAACGTAAAATATTTGAGGTTTGCTGGCTTTGTGGCCATGTTTGATGTGAACACAACAGAAGGCTTGGAAGAAGTTTACCTTGATTTTGGTCTTGCGTCTATATGTGATGAAGATAGTGGTTATCTTCTCTATGACCTCCTGTGTGAAGTTTACCCTTCGAGGGCTTTGACTGTTTGCAGTTACACGCTCCAGGTACTCAATTTCACTATTCATAACCATTTCATTTTCAGGTTTACATAACGAGTTTTTCGTCGTTGTAATTTCTTCTTATTAATTTGATGTGTTGATTGTTTCAGACTATTACCATGGGACCGGAGCCAATTGGTATGGAACCGCGTTTGAGCGTCACAAACTTGACCTTAAAGACTGCTATGCATTACAATGAACAAAAGGGGATCAAGTTTTTCTTAACTAGTTGTCCTTTGTTGGAGACTCTCACCATCGACATATGCCGTGGGACAATTTTTCTCCATGTGGGTATATATAACTAATTAATTTTTTAGTAATTAGTCTTCTAATTAACATGTATTAACTTATGTCAACAACATTATATCTTGAAGGAAGATGAAGCTCCATTTCGTACACTCAACCCTTCTGATGTTTGGATCGAAAACCCGATAGTTTACTTGTGCATAATCCGAACCCTGAGAGAGGTGGAGATCAAGGGCTTCAAGGGGACACAAAATGAGTTCTATTTGCTGGCCTATCTGGTCCTCCATGGTCGTCTCATGCAGAAGCTTACTGTGGTTACCTCGAGGGAAATCAGCAACCATGGAAACCCTGCAGTATACCGAAGTGTAGCTGAGAAACTGTGTGCAGTGAGACGTGCCTCACAGCAGCTGCAAATTACCATTATGTAGAGAGATAACAGCATCTGATGGATGTTTTAATTATTTTCGTGTGCATTTGAAGTTCGAAGCTCATGTAGTCACTGTACCATTACTCAATTCTTGTTGTAGTCCCTCAGTTTGGTTTGTGAATTTTATTGTCTTCGAACGCTTTTAAGAGTAAAATGGTCTTTACATGTCGTATTTACTCTCACAACGATGCCGTCAATCTCATTGTTCACCAGAAAAAATAGAACATTGTTGCCACATCTTGACCAGAAAAAATAGAACATTGTTGTCACATCATTTATATAACCTGAAAGTCTGTTAAATTTTCATGTTGCACAAGCACAAGCACAAGCACAAGCTAGCCCCAACTTCGGGTTAAGGACTGACTGTTCATTGCCATCAATCATCTCGACTTTTCTGCTGTCTAGGCTCTGATAGTGAACTGTGGGTTACTTCAAAGTCTGAGTTTGAAAAAATGGTACTTAGACTGTCTTTTAGTTTGTGGAAAAGGACATAAAGCTAAGAACCCTAGTGGTTGATAGAAGCCTGTTTGTTGGTCTTCCACATTCAATGAAGGCAGTAAATTTGAGGTATTATTTCAATGTTGGCAGTTTCCCCACAAATGTAGACAAACATTGAAGACTTGGAAGATGTGAATCTTGACTTTGGGCGTGATCGGATAATTGTCACAAGATAATGGGTGATGCTCTCTCCTCTCTAAACTTTGAACCCTGGTGGTTGATAGAGGCTCTTGCTGGTAATGTGAATGTTTCCCAAAGGTCCAAATAATAGCACAATTCCGATTAATCCCATATATTTTCAAAAAAATAAATAAAATTTGTAAAAGCATGATTGCTCTTCCAGGAAAGTATACGATTGTAGGAGCAATCATGTTAATCCGACGAAGACCTTCACATTTTATTGCAACGAAGACTTGTCTCACATTTGTTCCCAAATCTAAAACCATGAACATGGTTGTTTCCTTTTTCCTTTGCAAAACGCCTACTCCTCGTCGTCCGAAGACATATCGGTTGCCTGATGATCAGGCATTGAAAGTTTGCTCTTACATGCTTCAGGTACCTAAACTCTTATTCAACTTTTCATTTATAAGTTTATAAACTTATATGCCATCAGGATCTGGCCCATTGAAAAAGGATATTGACTTGCTGACTAGTGGTCTCACGTTCGAACCCCCCCTCCCTTCTCTTACTTTTACTTTTAAAAAAAAAACTTATAATATATGGTCCTTCCTACCATACATTGAGGCTTCGTTTAGTTTAAGAAATGAATTTGAGAGGAAATCATTTCCTATGTCATTTCCCACGTTTGGTAATGCTAGGAAAGTAATCGGGAGATAGCACTTTATTTCCTTTCCCATGTTTGTTTTGAGTATGAATGGAAAACAAAGTTTGTATAAATTTTCAATTATACCCTTATTAAATTAAATAAAAAAAGAATGCATTTAATGATATATTGTAATTTTAAATTGTTAATGAGGCCAAAATGGTCATGAAAAATGTGTATTTAATGTTGGTTCATTTCCCCAAACTTTCCCATGAGAAGGGAAAACAAAACCTAAGTTGGGAGGATGGCTTCACGTTCTCCCCTACTTTTTCATGGGCAAGGCAACGATTTCCCATGTATGGACTTATCAAATATGGAAAAGTAATTGATTTTTGTAAAATTGGTATAGAAGATATTGTGCCGGAATCATTATTCTATTGATTGTACAATATTCTTATACAGGAAGAACGCAAGCCTAACTAGGAAAATATACACAGCCTAACTAGGAAAAGAATTGTATAGCAATTCTAGGAAAAGTCAAACAATTACAAAGAAAGTTTTCCTATTCTAGATCCCTTAGAATCAGGTATTGATTACTTTCCAACACTCCCCCTCAAGTTGGAGAGTGAATATCAAGAACTCCCAACTTGCCTAGAATGGATAAGAAGGGATCTTTTCCCAAGGGTTTGGTGAACATGTCTGCTGGCTGATGTGAAGAAGGTATGAACTTGGTAGAGATTGCACCATCCTGTATCTTGTCTCTGATGAAGTGATAGTCCATCTCTATATGATGAGTTCTGTCATGAAAAACTGGATTAGCAGCAATGTGTAGTGCAGCCTTGTTGTCACAATGGAGAATTGAGGCTTTTGGATGTGGAAGATGTAGGTCACGTAACAAGCTTCGTAGCCAAGTGAGCTTGCAACATGCTCTTATCATAGCTCAATATTCTGCCTCTGCAAAAGATAATGAGACAGTTTTTTGTCTCTTAGTCCTCCAAGAAATTAATAAATTCCCAAGAAATACGCAATAACCAGTCGTGGATCTCCTCGTCATAGGACACCCCGCCCAATCAGAATCACAATAAGCATGTAACTTCAAGTAATTTCCAGCTGAAAAAAATAGACCTTGCCCTGGTGCATTTTTAAGATACTTGAGTATTCTAAGAGCCGCCTCCATATGCGGCATTCGGGGTGCATGCATAAATCGACTAAGCACATGTACTGCATATGTGATGTCAGGCCGTGTGATAGTGAGATATATCAGACGCCCTACCAATCTTCTAAACTGAGATGGATCTTTGAGTAGATCACCTGCATCAGAAAGTTTGGTGCCCTGTTCCATGGGAAAGGCTACCGGTTTTGCTCCCAAAATGCCACTGTCTTTGAGTATGTCAAGGGTGTATTTTCTTTGTGAAATACATATGCCTTGTTTTGAACGGGAAACTTCAATCCCTAAAAAATACTTGAGATCTCCAAGGTCCTTTATTTTGAATCGTGATTGTAGAAATTGCTTAAGCGATGAGATTGCCTTTTGATCATTCCCAATTATTAGTATGTCATCAACATAAATCAAAAAGGCTGTAAACGATGTACCTTTCTTGCATGTAAAAGGAGAATAATCTACCTTGGATTGGATAAACCCATCAGCTAGAATAGCTTTAGTGAATTTGGCAAACCATTGCCTAGATGCATGCTTGAGCCCATAGAGTGATTTGTTGAGGCGACACACAAGATTCTCCCCCTGTCGCCGGAGACTAGGAGAAGGTGACATGTAAATTTCTTCATGGAGGTCCCCATGAAGAAAAGCATTGTTAACATCTAACTGGCTAAGGGACCAATTTTGAGCAGCGGCGATAGCAAGCAAACAACGTACAATAATCATCTTGGCCGTAGGTGAGAAAGTATCATGATAATCAATCCCCTCAGTTTGAGTATATCCTTTGGCCACGAGGCGAGCCTTATAGCGTTCGATGGAACCTTCAGAACGGTGCTTGATTTTGTAAACCCATTTACAACCAATGGGTTGTTTGACGGGGGGCAAAGGAGTGAGCGTCCATGTGTTGTTGGACGTTAAGGCCTCAAGTTCAGAGCGCATAGCTTGTTGCCAATTGGGATATGCAGCAGCCTCTGTAAAGCAAGAAGGTTCCACACTACTACTGACAGTTGCAATAAAATAAAGATGTGAGGGTGAGTAATGATGATATGAAATAAAATTACAGAGAGGATAACGAGTACCTTTGGGCAGGATCGGCGGCGAGGAAGACGATGATGCGGGTCTGGGCATTAGGACGTGATTAAGAACATAATCTTTCTGCCAAATAGGAGCTTGTTTGGAACACTCAAAGACTCTGACAGGTGGATTGGTAGAAAGAGGATGAGTAGAAAGTGGAAGAGAAGCAGGTTGTTCTGGATTTGTAAGTGCAGCAGGGGATGATGTGGTGGGGTCGGCTGTAGAAATAGTTGGGTCAGTAGGGGAAAAAGAAGAATGGTTGGCTGGAGGGTTAGGCGTGGCTGGAGAGATGGGATCATCTTGGCTTGAAAGTGTGAAGTTGTGCTCAGGGGAAAAGGTTGGGTTGGTTGGAGGAAAGGTATGCGGGCCCAAGGTTGGATAGCATGGATCAAGGTCTGCTATGTGTGGTGTGGGTAGGACATGCAATTGGTCTGATGGTGTGGTTGGGCTGATAGTGTGGAAAGGAAAATGGTGCTAAAAAAAGTTAACATCCCTATTGATGAAAATTTTATGGGTGGTGAGATCATACAACTTGTAAGCTTTTTGCCCACTAGGATACCCCAAAAAAATGCTTTTCTTGGCACGAGTATCAAATTTGGAGGTGGGATGATTATTGGTGGCAAAAGCAAGACACCCAAAGGCTCTCATATGTTTATAGGAAGGTGGTTTGCCATATAATTTTTCAAAAGAGTTTGGTGGGAATTCGGTTAATGATATGAGCAGCGGTAAGCACTCATTCGCCCCAAAAACGAAGGGGAAGGTGGGCTTGAAAAAGTAAAGCCCGTGCCATTTCAATGAGATGGCGATGTTTGCGTTCTACGACCCCATTTTGTTAGGGGGTGTAAACGCAAGATCATTGGTAAATGACCCCATGATCTGTGAAAAAATTGCGAAGGGAATAAAATTCTCCCCCATTGTCCACACGTATCTGTTTGATTTTGGTGTTGAACTGTGTTTGGGTATAGGTAAAAAAGGATTGAAGGTGCTCTTGTGTTTCACTTTTATTGTGCATGAGAAAAATCCATGTAAACCTTGTAAAATCATCCACCACAGTCAAAAAATAGTGTGCCCCGGATAAAGAGGCTATTTTATGTGGACCCCAAATATCATAGTGAATGAGTGCGAAAGGGTGTGAGGAGGTGATGGAACTATTAGTAAATGGGAGTCGTGTCTGTTTGGCCAATGGACAAATATCACAAATATTATTTGAAGAACAAGGGAAATTTAACAATGTTTTGGACATAAAATTTAAGCGAGCCGAAGATAGTTGACCCAAACAGCGATGCCATAAATTTGCGGAAGCTGAAGCCAAATGACAAGATGGATCATATTTATTTGGAAAGGAGTTTGGAGAAGCCAATGCTACTAAGGGCTCGTTTGCGAGTGCTTCTTCCCGAAGCGCTTATGCCCGTAGCGCTTATGTCAGTAGCGCTTATGACAGAAGCACTTCTACAAAGAAGCAGTTTGTCTTTTGGATGTCACATTTAAAAGTGCTTTTGATATTTTGTAGAGTGTTTGGCTGACACAGTAAAAGCGCTTTTAAAAGTACTTAAAAAAAATTTAAAGAATCCCAAAATATTATAATAAACATAGGAAATAAAAATTCACAGGATCCCAAAATAAAAACACGACTTAAAGTTGTGAAGAGCCATTGAAGCAACAACTATTTGTATTTGTTTTTCCATAGGAAAGTTATGCATCTGTCGTATCATTCTCCAACAACGATAATCTAAGGATGACTTCGACTCACTCATGAATACTAGTTGTGTTCATAGTAGGATTTAGGAACATAATCCTTAACGAGGATTATGCCTGCCAGTTGTGTTCATACTAAACTAGGAAATCCTCACTTTTGGTTTTTCACCTTCATATGAAATTACGAATTCTTTTTCAATCTTCAGATTCCTCACTTTGGTAGCACACCTAAGCTCTATATATAGAGGGAGAGCTAATGAGTTGCATATTCAAGAAGAAGAAGAAAAAACAAGTTATTTCCACTAATTCTAGAATCAACAATAATGGATTCTGAAGCTTTTGGAGCTGAAACTGGCAGCAGCAACAGGGTTTTAAGCATACTGCTATTAATCATAGGGCTCTGATACCGGTGGTTGGTTGCAAGATTTCGGTGTCATGGATGGTGATTTTAGTGTCTCTAATGTTGTGCCTTAACATATCAACATTGCAGACGAATTTAATGTTGATGCATATTGACAATTGTAAGTGTCTGTCATGGTTTTAATTTTAATAGGAGAGAAAAAAAAGAAAAAAAAAGAAGGTATTTTGGCATTTAAAAAAAATTAAATATGGGTATTTTTGGCATTTTAAAAGTTTCATTAAAGGGAGCCAAGTGCTTCCCGTGTTTTTGTCCTGTAGTGCTTTTAAGAAGAAGCAGCTCTCAAGTGCTTCTTCCAAAACCACTCCAAGTGCTTTTGGATCTCACCCAAAGTGCTTTTGTAATTTTTGCCAAACACCATTTTTAAAAGGCAAAAGCGCTTTCACTCATTTAGAAGCACTTTTCGCTGCTCCAAAAGCACTCCCAAACGAGCCCTAAATAGTACAAGCCTCCACGTCGCTTACCCAGACCAATCGTCCTCCTCGTAGCCAAATCCAGCAAAACACACCATTGTGGAAAGAAAGTTACTGAACAAGTTAAATCCTCTGTAATCTTACTCACAGACATCAAGTCAACTTTGAATGTGGGAACCCCCAACACATCTTTCAAAAATAAATATGAATTTATTGGCAAAGTGCCAGTTGCAGTAATTGGAGCCTGGTCTCCGCTTGGTAACTTTACGGGTGGCATGGTGGAATGCTTCACATTTGTGAGCAAATGAGGGGAAGATGTGATATGATCCGTCGCCCCGCTGTCAATAATCCAATTAAGTGTTGTAGAGCAATTTTTAAACAAACTTGAACCGGCAATATTTGCTTGGGAATCAGGTTGTGAATCACTTTCCTTCTCTTTCAGGACTGAACATATTTGCTTATATTGTTGATTGGTGAGGTTGGGCATCACGGCTTTCACATCATAAAAACTAGGATTTGCATCCACATGGTTTGCTGAAGAAGATTTGTTGCGGCCCCCACCTCCTTTTGAGTTGTGATTGCCTCCTCCTGATTTGTGTAGTCTATGCCATGAAGGATAGCCATGCAATTTCCAACAGGTTTCAACAACATGGTTTGTGTCCCCACAATGAGAACAAAGCAGCGATTGTTGGCTGAAACTGGAGTTGTGTAGCAACTGATTGGGCCTGGACTGCTGATGTTGTTGGCTAATGTTAGGCCGTTGATTATTGTTGGCCCGTTGTTGTTGCTGACTGGATCGCACCACCATCGCTGCACTTTCAGCTACAACCCGTGCAGAACCTAATTCTCTCTGTTTTTCCTCTTGCGAAACCAACGCATATGCTCTACGAAGGCTTGGTAAAGGATTCATGAGTAAAATCTGCCCCCTTACCGCACTATAGGATTCATTTAAACCCATCAGGAATTGCATGAGGGCATTGCGTTCCTCTTTTTCATGATGCTTCTTTATAGCACCACATGAACATGTCGGCGAATCGTTGTAGGAAGCCAATTCATCCCACAACCCCTTCATCTTGGTGAAATAGCCAGCGACAGACATTTGCCCTTGATGGAGAGAAGCAATATCTCGTTGTAGTTGGAAAATCCTCGGTGCGTTGCTTTGAGAAAATCGCTCCTTTAGGTCCTCCCAAATCTCATGTGCCGTTGTCTAGTAGATGACGCTATCGGCGATCTCAGGTTCAATAGAATTAAGGATCCATGAGAGCACCATATCGTTACACTGTAACCAGCGAGAATAATGATCTGGATTGCTCTTCTCGGACGGTATTTGCACGGTCTCTTCAACGAACCCTAGCTTATTTTTTGCGCCAAGGGATAAGCGAATTGACTGGCACCACGTTGTGTAATTATCTCCGTTAAGGAGTTTGGGAACAAGTACCATGCCCGGATGGTCACTGTGATGAACAAAAAAAGGATTGTTGGCATCATTTGCACCACCGTCCTTGGAGGCACCATAACCTCCATCTCTCTTCGTAGGCTTGCTCTGCTCGTCGTCTCCCATGGAGAAGTAGCGAAACAAGAAAAATTATCTAAATTGCTGCTTAAAGAGAACGGCAAAAGAAAAAACACAAGAGCTAGGGTTTCTCCTGCTCTGATACCATGTAAAATTGGTATAGAAGATATTGTGCCGGAATCATTATTCTATTGATTGTACAATATTCTTATACAAGGAGAACGCAAGCCTAACTAGGAAAAGAATTGTACAGCAATTCTAGGAAAATCAAACAATTACAAAGAAAGTTTTCCTATTCTAGTTCCCTTAGAATCAGGTATTGATTACTTTCCAACATTTTCCATCCCCATCTCTCCTTTCCCATAAACCAATCGGGGCTGAAGGTGTGTCCAATATCAATTTTATCAATTCATAGCAGTTGTTTTTGTCTGTTGTGTGTTCAAAAAGTGTTGTACTCGAAATACCAGTTCAAACATTATTTGTAAGCATATATGTTTTGCATTGTGGGGTATGTGTGTGAAATCTGCTCTGTATGGGAAAGTTAGAAAACCAAAATAAAACCCACATTTTTAAGGCCTGCCCTATTAGCTATATATTAGCAATATATATATGCGCAATGCCTTGTGTAGAATTGTCATGTTTTCATTTATTTATTTGTTATTTGTATGTGTTAAATTGTTTGCGGGTTATTTGCACGAGACTGGAACCATTTGTTTTCACCTCATTTTACTTTTTTTTTGGACGAAGAGACCTCATTTTACAGTAACATTTGACATAGAAAACTACAATGCATGACTTTGAACAATTCGGCACCAAGTTTGTCTTGAATAGTTGTGTTGATGTCTAAAAGTTACATAACTTAGGTAGATGTAAAGTGGTGGATTATGTGTGAAGGTGAGGGCCTTAAGTAGGTGTGTGTACCTTCGGCAAGACAAGTGTCATTGGTGGATTCATGTATGCCTTCAGCAGGTAATGACATATGACGGAAGGAAAGTAAGTAAACATACAAAAGATAGATATACGTAGTTCACCTTAATGATCAATAGGCTACATCTATGGAGAAGGATATTCTGATTATAATAATATGGTTGTTTACACTATACATATTGTTGGACCCAAAGAGAAGGGAAGAAGGGAGAAGCCCTTTCTAAGTGGAGAGTGATATCCCTTTATAGGTAATGGGGAGTCTTCACTTCTTGTATTCCAATGTGAGACTTGACATGACCTCTAGTTGTGACTTGTGGCAAGGCTTCTTTGGCTAAGGCGATGACCTCTCAAACATGGCATGTGGCTAATCTTGCTTAGCTAGTTGCTCAGTTAGTCACGATATCCAACAAGTCGTTTTTGTTTGGAGACTCTTTCCATCTAAATCCGCCCTTGGAGAATTTTTCTGGTACTCATAATCAATGAAAGTGTAACATATTTACTGCATGACTCATCATCTCTTCATTTAGTTGCCACATTAATCAATTTTATTGCATGACTTCCCTCATCTACTTGTCATTGTAGACATTTAGTTGTGACCAACAAAATAGATAACACAATGTTCATGAAAATACATTTCAAATTCAAGTGATCTTTTACAAAAATGATATATTTGGAAAAATATTGAAAAAAAAATTCGGTTGTTCTAGATTATTGAAATACAATGCAAAGTGAGCACTACAAGAGTGTCCCTCAAATAAGCTTGTTTGAGAGATCTCTCAATTAAAACTTTATATATACGCATGATGATATTTTATTAATTAATTTTAATCCTCTTTTCAACATTACAATCCTCCATTTAAGGTGAAGCCTCTTGAGATGTTGAAGGAAACCAAGGTACCAGTTTACAAGTGCATAACCAGAAAATTAAGAGTGGTTGTTATAGGTTTTAGGGGGTCACTAAATGTACGTGACCTGCTCAACTATCAGCTTTGATTTTGTTTCATGGAAAACCGTACAGTAGTTACCTCAACTAAAGTGTGTACTAACTAGTACATAACTGGAAAATATACATATTCAAAGTTAAATAGAATTTGGATAAGTGTTTTGTTCATTATATAAGTATAGATAGTTATTGTGTGAGCTCACAAAAAATATTAATCATGTAATTAGTTGTGTCTAATTGAAATTTACTGTAATGATATTTGATAAGTGTATTCTTTCCTATATTTGTATATCTCTTATATTTGGTTTTTGTAGAGAAAGTTAATTAAACATAGTATTAGCTCTTAGAGGGGTTCTAACTGAAAATTGACTTTTCGAATGAATTTTAGCACAAGGCCAATTGGAGAAGAAAGCTAAGACATTGAAGATCATTGTGTCAAAGTTGCATAATTTTCTACCAAATCAAATGCTCCAAACTTGCAAGTCAAGACAGCCTAAGTTAAAATCCCGTCAGAACTGCATTGTTGTGGAAGATTGAAGACTTAAAGACCTTTCTAATTTTTCCTAATGGATTGTGATATATGCTTGGAAAGCTTAGAGATCAAGCCACATTTCTCATGTTTCTCCAGAATTTTCTAAGAAGTGGAAAGACCCAAAAATATACGTGCTAATTGACTGATATGTTTCCAAGTCAAAGACAGATTCTTTCCTAGTTTGTTTCCTTAATTGTTTGGGATTTTGTTTTGCTTTAGGAGGGTTTTTCCATACCTTTTTAGAGTAAGGTTTAGTTCTTTTACACTATATAAGGTCACCCTAAACTCTCTTTATATACCATCTTCTTACCATATATAACTTTCATACACACCCACAAATATATCAGAGAGAGCCAAGAGTTTGTAGCCACGATGCTTTTGGAGCTTACGAAGGTGTTGCTGTGGAGAATCTAGAGATCAAATCCATTTGCCACATTGGTTTTATGACAACAATTCTTTTGTTTATCTTTTCTTTTGTCACAAACTAATTTCTCTTACTAGGGCTACGATGTAGCCTAGCCATGAATACTTAATTATTATAATTATATTAATTTATGATTACTATTCTATGTTGAGTATTTGTTACTGTTCTTAATGCCTTAAATATCTAGCTAATATTTAATTGATGATCCAAATGGAGATCAAGATGAGATGTTTGGTGTTTGCTTCTTGTAACAAATACCATGCCTTGAATGAGTGCTCGAGAAGGACCAACATGACTCATGCAGTTTTCTTGCATGTTTTCATAGAACTTAATGAGTTTTTGATTTTCTAAATCCGTTTCTCGAGAGAGAATGAGTTGTTAATTGATAATACTTTTGGCTGAGCCCGAGGGGGGATATCGAATGAATTAGGAGAAACCAACTGCCAACATGGGTAGTACTTAGGGTTAATTGGCTATAAGAATTAAGTGGAATTGATTATGGTGAAATTGGATGCTCTAGTGTCTCATCATCTTGATTTCCACCATTAATGAAATTTCTATTTTTCATATTTATTTTAATTTAGTTTAATAAATCAATCACTCTCATTAATCATTGTTCAAATAAACTTCTGAATTAATCATAATTAGTACTTAAAAAGAAATTATAGTCTTCGTGGGAACGACACTTCACTTATCTCTATATTACTTGTGTGGATTGTGGACTTGCAATAATTTCACAACAATATTTCCTTTTGGTCTAGCAATTTTAGTGTCCACCAATTCTAGCCTTAATTAATATATTTAACATATGTGCCTTAATTTTGATCATATAAATTAAATGGATTATTTAAGATTTAAGCAAAAAGTATAAGAACATCTCCAATAGCCTCTTCAACAGCTTTGGAATGCTAAAATAGGTGAGTCATATAGCAAAACTCCCTCCAACAAACTTGTTAAACTTAATCGCCAAAACTGCAACCCCTTTCTCTTTCTCCCAAGTTGACCTTGGGCTATTCAAAACATTTATATTTTGCTTTGGAAGAACAAAATCTACATTGAAAAATGCTAAAAACCTTTTTTTTTCTTTTCTTTTTTTCAAATAATAAATACACAGACTTTCGTCATATGTTCTTGTATTTTTCCTTCTTCTTCTTTTTTCCTCAAAATATTGCATTAATTGAATTAAAAAGCATGTTAGGGCAAAAATTATTAAAGGAGCGGATAAACATTTTCAAATTGTCACTTAGATATTTGAAGAGTTTAATTTGCTACTATCATGGGAGATACTCTAACACTTTTATAATAACTCAAGAATCAACACTAAAATCGTAATTAAGTGTTGATTGATTATTTGATTAACTCTAAAATTAATCATGAATTCCAACAATTTTTCCAACTCTCTCTCATTCACATCATATGAGACCTCACAAAAGACCTGGGGCTATCTTTTATCCACTTACACTCCATTTTGTATGAGGTTGTTCTGCTTGGTAAGGGTATGATGTGAAGAGTGAGAACGGGAGAAGAAATAAAATTTTGGAAGAATCGCTGGATTACTAAGGGCCCTTTGCTGCACTCTGACAGTAGTATAAATCCAAGTAACTTATATTGTAATGTGGTTAGCTTTGTGAAGAATGGGTGGTGGGACATGGGGAAGCTTCGTACTGAACTCAGTGAAGAGATGGTTCAAAAAATTAGAGATATTTAGTGATATACCCATTCTTAGCATTAATATTATAGATAAACCCTCCATCATTGAATTTCTATAAACAAACCCAAAAAAAACCCCAAAAATGATAGCTGGCCTTATTGGATTTAATATTGATTATTAAATTACTTTAATGCCCTATTGAGTGTTTTGGGTATTTTTATAAGATTTTGAGGTTGGGCTTGTTTTAAGAAATTTATGGTAATTTTGTAATTTATAAGAAGTTAAAGCCTCTTTGTTATGTTGTAAATGGGTTTTGGGGTGTGTTTATAAAGTTCATTTCATATGGGATATTTTTATAATTTAGGCCCCCATATTGGGTATATTAGTGAATCTCCCAAAAAATTATTGGCACCCCTGTCGGTTTCAATAATAGTTTACAAGAAACTCAAATTTCGAAATCTACTGCCAATGGGGTGTTTACATTAAAAACTGCTTATGATATGTTATTCTCTAGGCAAGATTGGAGTGACCCCTTATGGGAGTTCATGGAAATTGACAGTTCCCCCTAAATTGAAGTTCTTTTGCTGGTTGATGTATCATGGAAAGATTTTATCGAATGAACAGAGGGCTAAGCGACAGCTCACTGTGGATGCTTGGTGTAAAAGTTGTGGATGTGGTATTGAATCAGTTATCCATCTCCTTAGAGATTGCCCAAGAGCTAAGGAGGTTTGGAAATATGTCTTACCCCATATGCAAAACCCCTAAATTTTTCCACACTGATATGCAGGTGTGGCTCTCTTGTAACCTGCTAAATAATAGTAAGGGAAGTGCAGGTATACCGTAGAGTTCAGTCTTTGTCTTTACCTGTTGGTATATATGGAAATGGAGGAATCAATACGTGTTTAGTGATGAAGAAGATCTACATTATTGCCCTCAGCGTGTTATCATGAAAGCTGCAAATAAGTGGTTGCTTTAAACTGAATGTGGATGATGAAAAGTACATGTTCCTCTTGCTTGGGATCCGCCTGATGTTGGTTGCTTTAAACTGAATGTGGATGGTTCCAGGAGGTCCATGAGTAAAGCTATTGGGGCTGGAGGAGTGCTTCGAAATTCTGAGGGGCTTTGGATCGGAGGCTTCACAGTTAATTTGGGCCTGGGTCAAGTTCAGGATGCTGATCTGGGGTCTGTTTTTGGCCTAAAACTTGCTATTTCCCGTAACTCCTCTCCTCTGATTGTGGAGATGGATTCTGCTCTTGCTGTATCACTGAATGCAAACAAATGATGGATATTCTTGGTTAGTGCAGACTTCAGCATGTTTACCGTAAGAAGAATAGTGTTGCAGATTGTTTGGCTAATGCAAGTTTCAATAGAGAGCTTGGTCTTTGTCTTTTGGATATTGCCCCTGCTTGGGTGGCATACTTGTTAGCCAATGATGTATTAAGGGTTCCTAGAACCCGTTTGATTTGCTTTTAGTTGTTTTTGGTCTTGTGTCTGGGGTGTTTAACCCCTCCCTAAATTCATCGAGAAAAAAAAGTATTAAAAAAGTAAAATGGAGTATAAGTGGATAAAAGATGAGTGAGAAAATCAGAGTTGGAACATACAATTTCTAATAAATAGAGTGTAAGTGGACAAAAATAATGGGAAAATCCAGCTTTTTTTTTTTTTTTTTTTTTTTTTTTTTTGACGACACGAGAGAGTTATGATAAGAAAATTTGATTTAATTTCAATTTATCAACTTTTTCTCCCCTTGGCTGCAATCTTTTTTATTTCAGTCAATTTTATTTATTTTTTATTTTTTGCTATTTCGGTTATTATAAAGCATATAAACGGGCTTTCACACCGACGTTCAGTTAATAGTCCAATGGGCTAATGTTTTGTTTTCTATCTTTTGGGCTCTTGCCTCCAAATTTAACTTGTAAGATATGTCAAATTATTATAGGCTTAAACTGAGGACGCAAAGCATTTTTTTCCTCCACAATTTTTTTTCCTTTTTCAAACAAAGTTTAGCCCGGTGAAAAATAACCTTAATTTGCAGATCAATGGTTGCAAAATTAAACCGCATGTCTTTATAATTTAAACTATTACTTATATTAAATAAATAAATAAATAAAAAACTCTCACTGCATCGACCATCAAATACCACCATATATCCTACATAGCCATGATAATTGGTAAATCAACTATGACCACAAGAAAGGAAGAAAAAAAATAGACAACAGAAAAAACTATCACCTCTCTGGAACTTCTTCCATCATTGTGTAAGTAATGATCAGATAACAAGACAGGGGTGAGCACTCTAAGGCCAAAAGAAAAGAATAAGGGGATTTTCTTGGGTAAATTACAGCTGGGAATTGAAAATAAAATCTCCCTTTTCCTTTTTCTAACTCACTTTTCTTTTTTCCTCTTCTTTCTTTGTTTTTTGTTTTTTGTTTTTTTTTCTCCCTCAATTATATATGTACACAAATGGATCAGTGAACTGAGAAATACAACTCAGTAATCGATGATGGGCTCTCCAATGTTCAAATTCCTCTCTACTTTCCATGGCAAGTTAAAAAGCTTGGCCAATATGAACTTGAAGATCTTGTTCACGTTGATGTTGTGGGTTGCACTTGAGAAGAAAAGGGTCGCCTTCATAGCCTTTGCATAAGCCCTGGCCTGCACGAATAAAATTCAACATGCAAAGCTTTAGTCAACAAGTGGCCCTTCTTCTGCTCTTATCCTCCACGCGGAAAGAGAAGAAATTTTGAGTGAGTTTGGCATGTTTGTTTTTAGTCACCGAATTGACAAAAGAAGACCCCCCCAAGTCTTCCTTTTATTCTATCCCAAACATTCTTCTCCTTCACATGTCACACTTTGACAACTAAATCGTCAGCTACCCTAATCGTCAAGGCAACTCAGTTCTTTGCCAAGACTTGGGTTTTCTTTCTTTGGCTTAATTGCAATTAAGAACTTTTTTGTTTTGTTTTTACCGGAAAATAGCATCGACCATATCGTTTGACGTCCATCCGGTAACTCTAGCATTATTAGTACTAAACAAAATTTGCAGGAAGTTGGTTTACCTGGGTCACGATTGTCCATTGCAGATCAGGGGGAAGTCTTACAAAATCATCGAATTTTGTCCCAATTAGTATGGGAATTGCTGTCTGCAACAGAAAGTAGGAACTTAATTAGATACAATTGCCACAATTTTGACATCATGAACAGTGATGAATAGCTTAATTACTCAATGAAGTAATGCAGTGATTTATGCTTGAAGCAAAGTCCATCATTGCCACAGGTAAGTAAAGCATTATGAATGGAATACATGTTGCCTTTGCAAATATGCAGAGTGCTTTTATTATTTTCTTTGTGGAAAAAACCATTTGGGGCAAAAGTGAATGACAAATTTCCCCAACAAAAAACTACTACTAGTATAATCAGTAAAAAAAAAAAAAAAAAAAAAAAAAAAAAAAAAAAAAAAAAAAACAAATTAATTATATAATAAAAAAAAAGAACTGTATATTTGCAAAAGAAAGACCAACAATAGAACTGTAGTGATTTTGGACTCCTCCGGACAAGGTCTTAAGTTCGAGTCCTATCCAGATAGCGTGTGTGAGTTTAGTATATTATTGCCCTTCTAAATAGGAAAATTCCTATAAAAAAAAGAAAAAAACTGTAAATGTTACCTGATTCCATTTTCTTGCTTGAGTGTACCATCCAACAACACTGCAAGCACACCCAAAAACAAAACCCCAGTTAATTAACCATAGTAAACACATGAGTTGATTTTAACTCAGAAATCTAATATTAGAAAAATTATGAACATACCTGTTTAGTGTGCATCTACTAGTAAGATCAAACATGAAAAAAATTGCTACGGCATCTTTACAGGCGATTGGAACATGATCCATCGAACTCTGGTCACCTACAGAGTCCAAAAAATACATATCAACACAAAAACATATAATAACAAATTAAATTCATAACACCGATCAGAATGTCTGATAAGAGAACATTTCTATGCGTTTATACGAACCTCCTACATCCCATAGACTAAATGAAATCCGAGCTCCTTGAACAATCAGTGTCTTATCCATTAAAGTCACCCCTGTCATCTCCAAATACCTCTCTTCCTGCTCATCCCCAACATATTTGCTCTTGAAGAACCCAAAACAAAAAAATGAATTAGAAATGTTCGTCATTAATAGCAGCAAAATTAATTAAGAAACTTTAAATTGCTAATATAATTACCATAAAGCTTGTCTTTCCAATCTGGCAATCACCCAACAAGCTGACCTTCAAGCTCACCAAATCCGCATCCGTCTCATACACCTTGCAGCTTGTAGTGGCGGGGTTGTCCACTACTAAACCCCCCTCTACGGCTTCCGGGGGAGGCGACAACGTCTTCCCCAGGGGCAATCTCCGGTACCGGATCGCCGGCTTCCCTATGGAACAAACCAGAAACCTGTCCCAGATGAACTTGAAAAACTCCCGAATAATCGAAACCCGGTCGAATATGTTCCAGCGCAGATTGACGTGAACAATTTTTCTGCAAAGTTGTGTCATGTTTGTGGCAGCTTCATGAATGTTCTGCGTTCATAGAATTGGAAACTTGCCTCTTGTTTTTGTCGTGTTTTTCGTTGGGTTTTGGTAATTTTGGTGATACGTGAGCTTTGAGCTAACCCAATGCTAGGAAAGTCCGGAAGGCGACTGAGTAGCAGCCTAAGCAGGGAAGGGAGAGAGGGAGGACAGTTGACCGGTATTTTATTGCGGATTCCCAAACAGTCCAAAATGCCGGCTTCTTGAACACTTCATTCAGAAGGGTGTTTTGGTCATTTCAGATTGAGATTAAAATATTGGTGTCGGGTTATACATGGGCGTTATGGTAATTTCGGTGAAAAGGACGAAGTGTAGTGTGGGTGGGGATAAATGGAGCATTTTTTTTTAAAGGAATAAAACTTTGTGGACATGCACAGACACAGCACAAGTAGCTTATTCTAATTGTATGGTGTTTTATTTTAGATAAGAAAATCAAGAATGCGACCTTTTAAATGCGTCTGTTCTGCTGTGTACGTCAAGCTAGTATGGTAGAGAATTAGCAACTTCATTGGCATACTTGTCGGCAAGTCCAAATTTTTCCTTTCTTCCTTCCCAAACAGAAAAACCAGAATGAGAAAGGGAACATAAAGTCAGTGCAAACATTTTGGCAAGCCGTTTACAGTATTGTTTTTTAAATTGTTATTTGGAGCATGTATTTGTTTTGAACAATCGCTCTCGGGTATGTGCGATATAATCGTTGACGTATGTGTAACTTTGAGTAACATATATTTATATACATTGACGGCTCATATTCATCTATCTGTTTACAGGAAATTATTTTAACATTTACTTTTGTGATAGTAACAACAACTGCATTTTTTAAATTTGTTTTCTTATATATGAATCATTTGTGGCTCTAAAGTTATTTACTTACAAATCTGACTTTTTTCTCAACTTAATTGAAATCTGACTTCAATTCTAAAACAGATTTTGTAGCTTTTTTTATTTTTATTTTGATCAATGACACAATTTTAATCAGATTAAAAGTGTATTGTATTGTAATATTTTCATGATAAGAGAAATAGACACATAGTTGTATCTGCAACTTATGATCGTGAAGATTTTCTCGAACTTAGATAAATTATATTGTGATCACAATTAGCACGTTATTAACCAGATTAACAATGGTATTTTATACTGTAACATTATCCACCTTAAATCTAATTTATTAGCTAAATAATACATCATCGATGGCATGATTCCTTCCTGACATGAACAAATAAAAAAACAAAACAAATAGACATTGGTGCCCTTTTGATTGGTGGATCTAGATCAGATGAATTTCAGGCTTTTGGAATAAAGGAGAAATATTTGAACCCCATCAAAATGACACAAAACCCCACCTCCCCCACCCTGCTTTTCTTCACCCACATCAGAATTTAGAGAGTACGCTAAAAGGAATTAAAAAGAAATACTTTTGTTCGTTTCAGTGGTTGGTATAATGGTTACCCTGCCTTCTTCTTTACTCTTTCATTTCTTTATTTGGGGCAAGAAATTCTTCTTTACTCTTTCGGTGATTCTATTTAAGCCTCAAAACAATTATAACTGATGTGTACTTTAAAAAAAATCATCATTATAACTTCAAACTGAAAAGTAAATTTATTGTATTTGTACTCGTTTTAGAGTTATACAATATCACACAAAGTCACGTGAAGTGAGAAACATACTTAAAGAGTGTATACAACACTGCACGTCGATAGAATCGATAGAATATATAAGATGAGAGAGTTGATTGGTTTGAAAACCTAATTAACAAAGGGTATTTCTTGGCATTTTGAATGTTTTATCATTCTCCGCCTTTTGCTTTAAAAAAATAAAAATTTATGTATTACACATTTCTAATATATGGGGTTAAAAGTCGTACTAATATATCAGAAATAACCCATCTGATCAGGACCTAAAAATAAAAATAAATCAAATAAAATACCAGAAGTAATCCATATAAGGCTTTTCTGTAACAGGTTCAAGACAGTGGGTGAACATTTGAAACTTTCCATGCTTTTGCATCTCAAAAGTAGACATCTGGTTCAACTTTTCAAGTTTTTCTGCAGCTAATTTGATGCAGTATTAGCGGTTTCTATTTTTAAATATATATAATGCAATAAGTTGGCGGGGATGGTCCAATCCATGAATGCATGCCTATATTACCGTCCTTGATTTGTTAATATTATTAAAGTTTAATCAGCAATATTCATGTTGATAAGGGAAAATATAATATTCATTTGGTTGGGAAACATAGGCTATAGCCTATAGGGAGGTCAAATGCTTGGGGACGTCCACAGATTGTAGCTAACTAAGACTATAACCACCTAACCAATCTTAATATTCTAAGTTTTCGTGTCTGTTTTCAATGGAGTTAGGGGTAAGAGTGTCAATAGGTCGTACCAAACTAAGATAAAATAATGTAGAGATTGATTAAGAATAATGTTAACTCACATACAACCTTTCCATATCAACAGATGCGAGATTATTTGAATTTGAGACATCTTTTAATATTAAAATAACATATAATATAATCACAATTATATGTTGCGAAACTGTACTTCGTCATGATTGAGTACATAAAATTGCGTCTATATATTCTTTTCCTTGGTATGATTGCATTTAAATGTCATAATTAACCTTGTTAACAAAAGGGTCATCCTACCCGCATTCATTTGCTTTGTTTATGTGTATAAAATTGTTATGAATTCATTATTCTCTTTTAGTCTTTTTTGTTTTGAGTACAAGTGATAGTCTAAACTAAAAGGGAGGGGGATTTCTCACATTGCTCAAAGTAATCTAACATATCTTTATTATTGCTAAAATATAGCATTAATACTGATACTGTGGGGATTCAAACTTGAGATATTTGATTTGTAAATCAAGGCTCTTTTTCACTGGGTAAGACTGTTAGCTATTCTCTTTTGGTCTTAGACACATTTTAAGAGTACAATAAGATCATAGTACACTAAAAACGATCCCTAACAGCAAAACATATCACTTTCTATAATAATAAATCATGCATATTGTTAACAATTCAACATCGGGCTCAACAAACGGCGTATGATCAAGCTTTAACAAAAGGAAAACTATGATTAGGACCAAAACACAGGAAAAAGAAAGAGGAAAAAGCAGAAAATGTAAAAAAAGAAAGAACTATGATTAGGTGTACTCGAGTTTCCGTGCCAGACATTGATGCTCAACACACGTGTTGACACATCACAATAGAATGAAAAAGATCTGATTTGACTATTATGCCCTTTACTGCCAACAAGTTTTTAAATTGAAGTTATAAAAAAGGAAACGAGTTTGTAATTTGAGTTGTGGAATCCCAGGTTAAAGTGGTTTCTAGTGCCAACATTTGTCTTAGAAAAAAAAAGGTTTAGCAATGCCCAATCAATTAGAACTTGTAAGTCGTGTTTAACTTTTGTAATCTCAACATATAATTTGGATTTCATGCCCAATCCTTTGAAAAATCCTAATAAATGCCTCATATGGGGAAATTCGTTAAGGGTAGTTAGGTTCGGTTTAGACCTCCAACAACAGAACCAATTAATATCTATCTATATATATAAAGAAAAAAACAGAGAATTGTGAAATATTCTAAATACCAGAAAATGTCATTGGTTAATTCAAACATTAAGAATTGAAATTATTCATTAAATGAGGATAATATGGTAAATTCACATTTTTTCATATTTAAAAAAATTAAAAATAAAAACCAAATCAAATAATAGGTCATATTTTATGGAACATAACTACCCATGTTATGTTTTCTTAATTCTAAAAATAAATAAAAATAAAAAAGAAAACTAATTGGCACATGTGTGAGCATGTGACAATGGGCTAGTATATATAAAGGAAAAGGAAAAATGCCCTTGGTATACAAACATTAAGAATTGAAAATATTAATTAAATGAGGATAATATGGTAAATTCACACTTTTTTATATTAACAAAAATTTTTTTTTAAAAAAAGAAGAGATAATAGATCCTATTTTTATGGAACACAACTACCCATTATCCATTTTAATTCTAAAATAAATTTTAATTTTAATTTTCTTTAAAAAAAGCATCTCGTAGCCGTGGAAATGCATGTGGAAAGGCTAGTGTAACATTATGACTCGGATTGGTTTGGTTTGGTTTGGTTTATTTTATTTTATTTTATTTTTATTATTATAATATAAGCGATATTAATATGGCTGTTTTTCGGATGAATCAGAATAAAGGGATTCCAATTCCAATCCAAAAAATTCGGAATGAAAACTCTATTCCAATTTCATTCCAAAAAATTTCAGAATTTCAATTTTGAAAACTCAGAATTTTTGAAATATTTCGGAACTTACATATTTGAGATTTTTTTGGGTAAATATTGGAAACTAGTTCAAAAATCAAAACATGCTCAACCATTTGAAGGATTAAAATGGACTCAAAATTGAAAACTCATACAGTAAGTTTGGAAAACTATTATATGCTAGTACTTAGATGTTGTTATCCTTTATTAAATAACTTTTCTATGTCTATTTGATCATCAAATTATATTTAGTTGAATATGAAATTAGTAATTGTGTGCAGTCTAAGATGGAAACCTCAATATATTTTGGAATTCGTAATTTTCTTGGAAGCTCTAGATACATTCCAATTCGAATCCAATTTTATTGGAATTTTCAGATTTCAAAACTTTTGGATGTCAGAATTGATTTGGACTTGTCAAAATCAGAAATTTTCGAAATAGTATGAGAATTTAAACCTAAGATCATTGATTTGCAAGTCACAACCCTTTCTATTGGGTTAGACCCCATTGACCGAATTAATTTGGTTTAAGCCTCAAACTAATAGTGTAGCCAAACCCACGGGAACTTAATGCGGATTTGGAAGCACTCACTTCAATAACGACCTAACAAATTGAGAAATTACATAATAATACTGGAGTACGTTCATGTTGTATTACTTGTAAACATGTAGACAAGTTATACCACATGACCGCATTACCCTACTACACTATAATTACACGTCACAATCAATCAACACATGAGAAAATGATAAACATATGGAACTCTTGCCCCTCGAAGAGCAATAAAATAATAATAATATTCCAAAAATCTCCGTAAACTATAAAATATGTTTAAATACAGAAAATAACCCAGCCCTGTAATAAGAAAGCAAATACCAACAACAACAAAAGGTCGTCTAAGAAAAATATACAAATTTCCAACCCAAAAAAAGAGAAAAATATACAAAAGTTGTTGGCCCGGATACAACATTGAGCTCAAAACAAAGCCCAACCAGAAGCATAAATGAAGCCGAACACAACAAAATAATATACCCATAACAAAAGCCCAAATCAAAGCCCTAGCAGAAGCCAACTCCATGCCGGGTTAAGTTGTTTCTTTTATCCGAAACCGCCAAATTCATCCGACGGTTCCTAAAGGCGCCTTCTCCCGCATCCATCTCCGTAAGTTAACGCGCGCTTTAGAGAAAATCTGGGCAGAGACAGCTCGCTCTTTCTTGCTCTCAGTCTCTGTCCCTAGTTTATTTTGGGCTGAGGCTGTTCTTCTGACTGCCGTAACTTTTTTGAACCTGACGAGCTACTTCGTTTCTCAGAACGCGCCAATTTGTGGTTTCAACGACTTGTGTAAGCTTCGCGGAATGGAGCTTGCTTCATAAGAATACTCATATCTTCTAAGGTATCACGATTGTCCAAAATGTACGACAATACTTGCTTGTTTATCTCAAAGACATTGCACATACTAATTGGATTCCAAGGCTTCACACCAAGTCTTCACTGACATGCATGCTTAAGTAGGGTCAGGCAGAAGCGTTGTTGCCTGATGGGAACTTCCCCTATATTTCTATCAATAGAGAGTTCTGTCACTTGGTCTGAACCTATTTATTCTATTCCTATGACTGTTCAGTGATGGGTTTTCTCCTTTTAGGATTAGGTTTCTATCTCGTATCGTGTTGTGGGTATTGTACAATTTGCACATAAACTGTTTGTTAAAATGCCCGAATAGCGATTGCTGAATTTTATTTTCACTCACGGATATAATAGGAGTTTCGGATCATACTTTCTCTAACAATAATAATCTGCAGTCTGACTAAATGGATTCAGAACCAGAAGCTCTTGAGGAGAAGTTGACATCTTTACTTGGACAGCTCCAAGCAGAGAGTGCCATTCTGGAAAGAATGGTTTACAAGAACAAGAACCAGCATAGGCGTGGCTCGTATTTCCAGTACCTTATGAAGGTTTGCAAATTCTACGCCTTGTTTATAATCCCAAAGCTTTTACTCAATTGTTTGGTTCCTGAGATAATTGATGAAATAGAAGGAAAATAAAATACTTTTTACTTGCATTGAGTATGCTTGATAGCAATGAATGATTAATTGACAAATCTGGGTGGTGGTTTTTGTTGCATAGCGTCTTAAAGTCAGTTTTAGATTTCAAACTTACCTGTTTTTGTAGTTATAAGCTTCTTACTCTATTGTTTGCTTGCCGAGAAAAATTGATGGATGAAGAAAAAAACTGAATTTCAATATACATTCAGGCAAAGTAGCAGTTAATTAACTAATTTTAGGTTGCTTAGCTTATTAGGGCCAGTGAAATCTTACAATTTAATTATCTATTCTATGTTTTTCTTTACTGCTATGTATGTATGTACGTGGTTTGGCTCACTTTTTTTTCTTTTCTTTTAATGTCAGGTAAGGAGGGATTTGAGGCTTTTACAATCCACTAAACTGGAGGAGATTTTGGGTTGCTGTTTCCAAAGTATCACTGGGAAGAGACCTAAGCAAAAAGTGCATCTATTAGAAAGGTAAATGATGAAATTTATATTTTCATCATACGATCCTATATAGATTAGGCTGATGCTTTGTGGGGAATGGATGGGATGGTGGAGTGGGGGTTTAATCAGTGTATTATATATATGCTACATTAATTTTCTCTTTTATTATGGATCGGGACCTTTGTCCCCAATTTGAAAATCTCAGTTGTGTGCTTGATAGGCAGAAAGCTTCCACTAGCTTGAGTACACAATTTATATTATAATCACTTACCAAATCATTGCATCACAGCTTGAAGAGAAGGAAATATGAAAGTGGAAAATATAATTTCATGGAGCGACTTCTGGGAGCTGCACGCCTTCTGTCACAGGTGTGTTCTTGTTTTCATATGATGATTTGTTAATTTTGCCTCGTTTCCTTAAACTTCATAGTAGTGGTTAAGATTGTTTTGTTCTGTTTTATGAAAACAATGTTAACTGCTAGGGATTTCATACAAGTGGAGAAACCTTCCAGTTTTGCTAGTCTGGGTTTACAGAGTTATTCAAAGTTTTTCTTGATTATGCGTGACCGGATTTGAGGATGTGGGTATCTGACGTGTTAACTTTCAAAAGTTCAAACATGAGGTCACGTAATCTCATATGTTTCCTTTTGATTCATATAGATGCCTGTATCTATATTTCAAAATATCTTACTTGTAAAAGAAGTAAATATCCACATATGTCAACATATTGCAAAAATAATAACGAAGTACGATTTTCTTGACAAAACTGTCCAAGACATTATTAATTTCCCACTCTTCTAAGCCAATGAAACTGCATTGAAAGAAATGTCTGATACAAGTGGATGCAGGTGTCATGTTCTTAGGTTTTGAGGAAGATTGTATCCTGCAAATCATAAGTATGTATGCTTATTGGTTATCAATCAACAATGTAAATTGTGTCCTGTAATAAGGCCAACTCAAGTTTTGAGAATAAATACTTAGCAATAAAAAAAACATAACTGATTTATCTATTCATTTATTTTTGTCTGTGTGTGGGTGTGGATATTGTCTGTCATAGGACAAGTTCTTTACTGTAGATTTATCTACTAGGTAAACATCCTTCTTGATGAGCTAAGAATCCAAGATGGAATTCTGTAATAAAGTAGGCCTCAATGGTACTTAGATCCTGCAACTGATTATATATGTTTGTGATGAGGACATCATTAGGTGGTCCAGCATGAAGTACTTGCTTTTATTCTAACTTATTAAATAAATATGTGTTTTGTTTCTGCTGCAGATGGTTGAGCCAATGCTGAAGGCAGCTATGTATCCTTTGCTTACTGGTTACATATAGTAACTTTCTTGTAACTTTTATAAGATCGGAAGTAAAATTTGAAATTTGATGGTTTTGGTGTGGTTAATATGGCTGCCCGATTGACTATCATGAATTACCGTATTTCTAAGGCATCCGAGTCTCACCTTTAACAGTAGTTTCTGAACTCATATGATATACCTGGAAGTTTAGTAAAAAAATTTGTATAACAGAATCGCATGGTTTTACAAGTAAGCTGTATATTTACATGGTATTAGATTTGTGACGTATCTTTTTATATTGACAAAAGATATATTTGTTTCTTATTGAAGCATGATTATTTTTACTGCTGCCAGGGTGTTTATATGCTACTTTTCATCTGTAGAGAAAATTCAGAAATAAGGTCTTTGCCATTCTGAATGCAGTAGTTTAGTGCTTGGACCACCAAGCATAAATTGAAATATGCATCCCATGAATTTGTTACCCTTGACTATTCTACAGCGAGATATCTACACTGCTCGCTCGTTCATTTTTCATGGGATTTTCTCTGACTATTTTAGCTGTGCTTGCACGACTTCGAGTTTTGGTTCAACAAGTAAATCCAAGTCTTTGTTTCCCCCAATACATTTAAAATTGAAATGTACAGATTATTTATTAAATGTGGGTAGTTTGTGGAATATGTGCTCAGATAGTTCAAGTGCTGAACCTGTCCATAAATTCCCATAAACCTGGAGAGTACCGTACATGGAACTGAGTTATCCAACAAAACAGTAATGTCCTTGTATTCAACATGGAATACAAGGCAAGCTAGCCAAGTGGGTAGTTTTGTGGATTTATCATGAGTAAAAACAAAAAGAAATGTACATGCTGCAGCAGCATTTGGCTAGTGATATAATAAGAAACCTAGGTGACTAGGTCTCGGTATTAAACATGGAGTTCAGCTATCGAGTGAATTAATCATGTTTAGGATGTGAAACTTGTCCATGTGGCTAGCTCTCAGGAATGTGTCACGTACAAATTTTGACATTTCAAACTTTGAGTTCGTCCCTAATAGACTAGTAGTAGTTGGACTGATTTGATGAACTTTTCTTTTGCTATCTGTTCTACAGATTTTACTTGATGTTGTTTCCGTTTTCAACATGGTTTCTTCTCTCTCCCAAAAGAAGCAATCCATAAAGATAAATCAAGGAGGACTTGAGGTCACCCCTTCTTTTATTCTGAAAATACTCTGGTAACAGATTGTTGTTAGATGCATTCTAGCTTCTATGTTATTTACTGCTTTCTTTATGCACAATTGATACAGGTCTTTAGGGAGTTTTACCCAACAAATGAGGAATTTATCATTCTTGAGTGTGTGTTGAAATCAGATAAGTTTGAATTGCTCGAGAGCACACATAAGAGTGAGATTGCAAGTCATGATGGGGATCTTGCTGTAGGGGCATCATCTGTACTATATCAAAGTGTTGAGTCTTTACTTGGAGGTCAGTATGTTCATGGTGTTTTCTTAGTTTATCTCTCTTAAGTAATGGTATAAGCAGCATATTTGTACTTTATATTTACATCATTCTTATGCAATGATATCCTTGTGTGCATATCTCAATTCCCCCCCATTTGCTCTGTTATTATTTTGATGTGACATAATCGACATTACTACTTTTTTAATGTTTGTTGCTTATGATACTATTGCTGCCACATGGATAAGGGCATTCAGGGGGCTGGCTAATTATTTTCTATCATAAACATGACCTTTTTATACGACAAAGGGTAGAGGCTGTTAATGGGCATCATTGTGGGTTTTCGATTTCATCTGATTTTTGGTATATACCATTCTTCCTTATTCATATTGATTGGAAGGAAAAAATTAGTTAAGCTTTCTATTATGTAGTTTTCATATGTTATATTGTTATTTTTCTGTTTCTTTGACTTTTATGATGTCTTTAGCAACTGGTAGGTTAGAGGTTCTGAACATTTTTAGATGAATAACCACGCTTGTATCTTTAGTTGTATCCCATCAATAAAATCTGTGTTGTCATAAATTAAGACCTTTTGGATTTCTGTGTATCTGCACAAAAGCATAATAAGTTGTGCTTATGCATCTGTCTTGGAGCGATAGGAATACATCATATGTTTCCCAACACATTTTCCTGTATGATGTAATTCTAGTTGTATGAATTTCTCCTTAGGTTCGTTTGTTCAAGTCTTTGAAAAGTCGACAAGAAGTCAATAAGAATTTGGTAAACGAAGGTCTACACTCATCCACTTGGTTTACTCGTGATACTAGATAGAACAAAAGATAAAGTAGTACATAGTAACTTTGTTCTGAAGTTTTGTTTTTACTCCTCATATATTTTGTTGTTTTGGTTTCTTTTAGTTTAATGTGATTATGGAAATATTACTTGTTGAGAGTTTTGTTAAACTTTTGGTTTGTGCCAGATGATGAAAATATTCCCCAGACGGCAGATGCAAACCACGCTATTGAAAAAGTTCCAATCCACATCACGGAGGATAAGATTGGTTTGTTGTCAGGCCTGTCCAACGACGGTACTGATGGGAAGCTGGTTGAACGTTGTGAAGATGGTTCAAACATTGCGGAGATTCCTAGCAAGAAGCTTTCTGAAGAAGGTTGCTTGCTACCAGGCTCAAGCTCACCTACAAGTTCCGATGCATCAAAACTGAGGTCTGGACCTGTTAAAGTGGCATTTGTACAAGTCAAAAGACCTTTACCCTCAACAACAAATACAACTGAAATCCATTTTAAAGAAACTGACATCAATAGCCATAACGAGGAAGAAGATCCATTGTTCAGTTTGCTTTCTAGTGGAAATGTAAAGAATAGTCTCTTCTGAATTGTCTTTTTTCAATATGAAATTTTGACATGAAACCATAGGGCATGGAAGTTTAAGGAGCACGAGCATCCATCTTCAGAATAGTCTTGAATTTTGCTCGTTATTATGTCCAGTCCAGAAAAAGAAAACGCAAAAAATGGGCTTTATTTATTTATTTATTTTGGCCAGTTAAGCTGAAGGAACTTTACTACTAAAATTTGAACTCTCCTATTTAAGTAATTTTACCAACCTCTCTCGTAGTTGCATGCACAACTCTCTTCGGAGGGGGAGCGGATCTACTGTCCCCAAATTGGTGTCCCTTTCATGTCCCCTCTCTAATTTGTTGACACGTGTCAACTAACATAACAGGGAGTTAACTCTGTTAACTTCTTTATTTGACAATTTTAAAAATTAAAAAAATTAAAAATTGCCCAAATAACCCAGCAGCCAGCGAGCGTCTTCTCCCTTGCTCATAATCTCTGCATCTTCTCCACCATCAACTCTCAAACGCTTGCAAAACCCAATTCTCCTCCCTCCTAATCTCTGTTTGGAAATTGCAGCACCATTAAACCAATTGATTATACCTTTTGTTGAAGCCCCGTGGATGGAGGTGAGCAAAGCCCTGTGTATTGGAAACTTATATAATATACACTAAATCAAAGTATTATTTGTTCAATTTTCTTTATTAGGTTTTATCTTCATAATATGTTTGATTTCATATTCATGTTAATCAACCTTTTGAACAATCCCAGCCATAGGAATCAATTCCTATCTCGATTAAATTAATTGTTATAGTAATCAATCCCAGCCATAGGAATCAACCTTTTAACTTCATCATAGGAATCAAACCCAGTCATATATAGTAATCAATCCCTGTCTCGATTAAATTAATTGTTATTTTATTATTATTGTTTTATATATAGAAATTTAAATCTTATAAATTACGTGTTGCCAATTTTCTCAAGGACATGAACGGGGAAAATAATTACAGAGACGATGATGGAACTCAAGCAGGTATGAAGCTAATTTTTGAAACAGATGTGGACTTCAATGCTTTTGCAGACAGTGAAAGTAAAGAAGAAAAGTTATCAGAAGCTACACAAGGTAACGAAAACATAGAGTTGATTCGTTCTAACATGTAGAAAAAACTAATTCCTATAATAGGCATGGAGTTTGAGACAGAAGAAGAAGCCTTCAAATTTTACAATGCATTTGCATATGGTGTTGGTTTTAGTATTAGACGAAGTAAATTTCATAAAGAGAAATGTAGGAAGTTGAGAGACAGACTTTTTGTTTGCTCTGCTGAAGGTAAGCGTGAAAAGAATAAGTGTGATGGCAGTGTGAAATCTCATCGTGTTGAGACAAGATTTGGATGTCTAGCAAGGATGAAAATAGTTGTCGGCTAAATGATAGTATTGTGTTATTGAGTTTGTGCCTGTGCATACTCATGTTACTTCTAGTCCTTGTAAGACCCATTTTTTTAGGTCACATAGGAACATGTCTCTTGGACAAATAGTTGAAGCTGATATGGTTGATAGTTCGGGGATTGCTCCAAAAGCAACTCTAGAACTTCTGAGTAGACAAGTCGGTGGAGGTCAGAATCTTGGATTCATTCCTGTAAATTATAAAAATTATTTACGTTCAAAGCGTACAAGAGAAATGAGGGTAGGAGATACAGGGGCCTGTTAGAATATTTACAATAAATGCAATTGAGTGATCCCAATTTCTTTTAAGCTATACAAGTGGATGAATATGATATGATTACTAATATCTTTTGGGCTTATGCAAGGATGATGGTGGATTATGATTATTTTGGTGATGTGGTATGCTTTGATACGACCTATAAAAAAAATAAAGACGGAAGACCTTTTGCAATGTTTGTTGGTGTCAACAATCATAGGCAAACTGTTGAATTCGTGCAGCATTATTGTATGCTGAAACAGTTGACACATTTATTTGGTTATTTGATACTTTTGTCAAGGCTATGTCTCGGAAAAAACCAATAAGTATTCTGACAGACCAAGATGCAGCAATGGCTAAAGCATTGCTTTCAAAGTGGCCAGAAACATGTCACCGTTTGTGCATTTGGCACATATACCAAAACGTAGCCAAGCATCTTAGCAATGCTTTTGAGAAGTTCAAAAATTTTACCAAAGACTTTGGTAGATGCATATATGATTATGAAGATGATTTTATAAACGCTTGGAATAACATGCTTGAAAAATATAATCTCAAGGATAATGATTGGTTGAGGCGATTGTTTAATATAAAGGAGCCATGGGCATTAGTTTATGGGCGATAAACTTTTTGTGCTGATATTACTACTACCCAATGCAGTGAAAGCATGAATAGTGCTTTAAAGAAGTATGTTAGTTACAAATATGATTTGCTATGAATTTTTCAACATTTTCAGAGGTTAGTTGAAGATTGTCGTTATCAAGAGTTGAAAGTTGAATTTAGAGCAAGTCAAAGGTCACCTGCATTGTCATTTCCAATGAAAATATTAAAGCACGCATCAAATTTATATATACACCAGAAGTGTTTAAGTTGTTTCAAGATGAGTTGTGTAAAGCTCATGATTGTCTTGAAATTCAATGGTTAGATTGGAAGCATCAGCAAATATGAAGTTATCCCTCATAAGAAGTATTGGCAGCACACAGTCACATTTGACTCAATAGATAATACGGTTTTATGTAGTTGTAAGAAGTATGAGTTTGCAGGAATCTTGTGTGCGCATGTTTTAAAAGTCTTCTCTACAAGAAATATTAAAAGTATTCCAGCTAAATACATCTTAAAGAGATGGACCAAAAATATTAAGGCCTAAGAGTGCAAAATATACTTGCAATGTCTCTAGTGAAAATGACTCAAAAGTAGAAATTGTCAGGCGTTACAGAGAATTATGTCGGTTGCATACTCAGTTAGCAACACGAGCATCAGAGTCGAAAGATGCATATGAAACAGCTATCTTAGGACTTAACAATATGTTGGGAGATGTGGATGCGTGTTTGAAGAAGAAAGCAAGTCAAGAACCAACTCAGGTGATCTCAACAACTACTAGTGCATCTAAGCTTAACGAGTATATTTGTATTGACGATGATATCATTAAAGTTAGAGGAATCAAAACTAAGACCAAACTTGTTGGCAATTCTAAAAGGCCAAAGAATGCTTTGGAAAAGCTCACAAAGAAGAAAAAGCCTCGAAATAAAGAAGAATGTGCTCTATTGGAACAAGTATTTTAATATATATTTTTTATTATTTAAAAGTTATGATTGTTAATATTTGTTTTATTTTAACTCATTTTAAAAGTTATGGTTCTGAAATAATGTAGGAACCTGATTCTCACAATAAGACTATTCACATGCCAACCCAATCTCAAGCAACAATGGATATTTCACAGGTAATCTTTAAGTTAAATTTATCTTTGTAATTCCTTGTAATTGGTTACTACCTTTTGTTTTCTCGTGAATGAGTACTAACTTATTTCATTGTATACACATATATGCAGGCAGAATTACCACAACAAGAAGAATTAAGCTTACTGAGCTCTGAAGGACTAGACTTGCTGAGCTCTGAGTTGACATGCAGTGCCAAGACACATGATATGGACGTCCAAGATGTTGAATGAGAAGAATGTTTAAGAATTTTTCGTTCTTTTCGTCTCAAAGTTTCATTTAAGAATATTTGGTTATGACATTTGGAACAAGCATGTATTTACCTTTTGTATTGTTAAAGACTAAATATGTATGGCAGTTTTAATAGGCATTTGATGTCACATATTATTGGAACAAAACCAGCGACTATGTGGAATCAATTATAACTGAATATTGCTCGTTGTTAAGTGGTAGGACAAGTATTGAACAATACTAGAAAGCACTGTTCATCAGACGTCCTACACTGTTGATAAGACTTACTATGATACTGTCAAACATTTAATCAGTCACGTGCTTTTCTAAGCTACGCTGTACAATTAAAATTAATGCACGTGATTGTAGAGAAAAGATGCTAGTCCAGGGATTGATTTTGATTTGGGCGGGTAACGGCTCACGAGAGTCGAACCAGGAAATTGAATGGTTAATAAGTGGATGACTTGATGGTGAAGCAAGTTAACTTGACGGTCGGTGATGATTTTATAGATCTACGGCACACAACTGTTACAAAATCTTCAACATGCAATTTCTTTGCCCATTTTACCCATTATTAGTAGTAAATAAGTTGACCCAAAAAAATACTTGAGTATTGGGCCTCCCACGTTTTGTTGATTGCACTCCATCTCCATGCGAGTGGAAGGCCTGGAGAGGGTATTGTTCATAATGAAAAATTCAAGTGCGTGAATGAAAAAAGTATGCTACCACCACAAAATCATAAAAATATAATTTATTTATTTATTTTATAATACAAACGTTAGTCTAAACGATTTCTAACATATACACACACTAAAATGGTGTCATGAGGGTTCGAATCTAAGACCATTAGCTTGCAAGTCAATGTCATTTTTCACTAGACTAGACCTCGTTAGACATAAAAACAATTTTTAAATTCAATTATTTTGGTCACCAAACTCTAGGCAAATAATTGAATATTTGAAAATTAAATTGCCAGATATATAACTTGTATGTTTAAAAAAATAATAAAGGCAATTTAACTCTAAATATGAAATTCGTACAATTATTTAGTTTATCACATTGGCTAATGTCTCATCATCATTCAACCTTTCATGAAATCCGTATACGAGTATGAAAGAAAAAGAAAAGGTTTGAAATGAATATGATAAATTTTCAAAAGATGAGGTAGTGACGCTCAAAAGACAGACAATATTGCAATTTCAATGATTTGAATTATAATTTTTTTTGTATTGCTTATAACAGCAGAAGAAAAAAAGTGGATAAGGATTTGTAGATGTTGAGGTGAATGGAAGTATTGTGTATCATGCATCAGAAAAGTGTCTTGAAAGACTAGGGGTGTATTCAATTAGGATTATAGAGTGTTTAAAAAGATTTTGTTTAAGTGTCAGCTTTCATAGAACTTGATGGAACATTATAATTCATATAGAACTTGATAGACTTTCAGAAGACTTCTGTATAATTTTTTAATAAAACTTTCTTAAGCTTTCATAGAACTTGATAGGCTTTTATTCCAGACTTAAGTAGACAATATATTTCATTTTAAAGAAAGAAACTTGAATTTTTTCAATCAAATTTGTTTTTGTTACCCAAAGCTTGCTATGGAAGAACATATGCACAGTTCAAAATGAAAAGAATAATCCAAGAATGTTGTGTCAAATATGCACAGTACCTATTTGACCATGAATGCTGTGTCAAATATGCATAGTACTTTCAATGTTGTCAACGTATATAGTAACATTGATGTATATAAAAAGATGAAATAAAAAACCAAATTCATAACATCTTTTCCTTCAACAACATGGATATTTCATAAGAAAGGTTGTCAATTATTTCAATTTTCTATCTAGTCGTATATAGATATTTCAGAAGAAAAACAAGTAGTAACAACCATAAACCCTAGTAACAAGCATAAACCTAATAACAAGAAAAACACGATGAAGAAAAAATCATGGAAAAAGAAAACCCAACGAGGTATTAATCAAAGAAAAAATAGGGAGCATACCTTCACAGATGGAAGAAGGAAGCTGTTCGTCTTCGCAGAGAGAAAAGCTAGGGCAAGAGAAAAACGTCTGATGAAATACTTGGGAGGGAGGTTGGATTTATTTTGGTCTTTGTTATTTATAACTCTCCCCTTAAAACCTATGAAACTTTATCACTTAATGAAATCCATCCAAATATTTGACCTTTCGAATACACTTAGATTTTATTCAACTTTTTTATAATCCTAATTGAATACACCCATATATGAATAGACTTTTTTAAAGTTCATATAAGTCCAAATTGAATACACCCAGACTTGTAAAACCTCTTTTAAAGTTTGTATAAATCCAAATTGAATACACCCGGATTTTTAAAATCTTTTTAAACGCTTTATAATCCTAACTGAATACACGCCCCCTAATATACACAAGTTTTTTACTTTTCAATTTAATATAAAGCTAAATCCAATGCACATTTATTGAAAAATATTTTGTGACCAAACTGAAATTAGTCGCATTCACAAATTATTATTATATTTGAAATTTTGAAAAGGAGAGGATGAGGTGTCATTGGTGTTTGAAAGTGAAATCGCTAATCATGTAAATAATTTTACTATTGAACTATGAACCCATTGGCATCATTCACAAATTTAAAAAAAAACTATATATATATATATATATGACAAGCCTAAGCCCCACAAAGCAAGAAACTAATTGAAATTGGTCATGGTCTGAGCTATGGGGAGCTTCTATAATGAGGAGTTTAGAGTGAGGAGCTAAATTGATGGTGGGATTGAACCCCTCAAATAAACTTCTCACTCTAAACTTTTCATTATAGCCTTCCTGCTAAGGCATCCGCAACCAACATATTAGAAATAGAAGATTGTGGAGAGTCGATAATGCAAAAGCCCATTGCATATACATATTTGGAATTTATCTTTTTTTTATTTTATCATTCCATCGTAGTTTGGGTCCTTCCCCAAACTTCAAAGCTTCAATACCTATTGATAACTTCAAAGCTTCATTTCACGACTTGCTAAGCCTGCAACTCTTGGATTTATCCAGAAATAATATGTCTGGAGTGATTCCAAAATCTTTAGAAGCTCTCTTACTTCTCAAGCATATGGATTTGTCTTTCAATAGGCTCCAAGGAGAAATTCCAACTGGTGGACCCTTCCAAAACTTCTCTGTTGAATCATTTGTCTCAAATAGTGCACTTTGTGGTGCACCCCGACTCCATTTTCCACCATGCAAAAATGGTACACTTGAACCAAATTGGAGGAAAGCAAAATATATCATCCCTGGGATTATATCAGTTATTTTCTTTGTGGCCTCCGTATTTATATTTTTACTATGTAGGAAAGGAAATGTGGAAGTTACAGGAGAGGATACCTCGTTGCCTCAACTTCTTTGGAGAAGAATTTCACGCCTAGAACTTCTAAGGGCCACAAATGGATTTAATGAAAACAACTTACTTGGAAGTGGGGGTTTTGGCTCAGTATATAAAGGGACACTTTCAGATGGGATAGATGTTGCAGTGAAGGTTTTCAGTTTGCAGCTAGACGATGCTTTCAGGAGTTAGAGAATGTGAAATGCTAAGCAATATTCGCCATCAAAACCTTATCAAAATCATCAGCTGTTGCAGTGAACTTGATTTCAGAGCCTTGGTACTGAACTACATGTCTAATGGGAGCCTTGAGAAGTGGTTGTACTTTAAAGCTCTTCTTTGAATATCTTACAGAGGATGAATATAATGATACATGTTGCACTAGCATTGGAATACCTACATCATGGCTATACAATACCTATTGTACATTGTGATATGAAGCCAATCAATATATTACTAGATGATGATATGGTTGCACATGTTGCTGATTTTGAAATTTCAAAACTCTTGGGTGGAGGAGATTCTACGACCCAAACTATGACCCTGGCCACAGTTGGGTATATGGCTCCAGGTGATGTACTTGCTAATTTAATATCTTTCAATTCTTTACATGTTGTCCTTAATTATGCATAATTTTCATTTTATCATACACATGAATATAATTCACACATACATAAGTATACTTCATATTGCAGAGTATGGGACGGAAGGAATAGTTTCAACAAGAGGGGATGTGTACAGTTTTGGAATTGTAGTGATGGAAATATTCACAAGAAGGAAGCCAACAAATGAGATGTTTGATGAGGAAATGAATTTAAAGCAATGGATTGCAAACTCACTATTGTTAACAGATGCAATGATAGATGAAGTTGTGGAAGCCAATTTGCTTGGGATTGGGACAGAGTAAGAAGATGATGATCATGTGAGGAAGATGGATTGCTTATCATCCATTATGGGATTATTGGTGGTTGTGGTGGTGGCGGTGGCCACAATTTTTTCCTTGGCTTAAATATTTAATGCTGAAGTTCAGCTAGGAATTGTTTTCATGTTTGTAAGGAGCTTCTTCAATAATAATTTCAAGTTAAAGGTTGATTAAGGACTTTTAATTTCACCCATCTATTAAATATGTTAGTGTGTTAGCTCGGCCTAAGACATCTGCAGCCAACAGATTAGATTGGAAATACAAGATTGATGGGAGAGACTTTGTCTAAAATGTGCCCAATGAGATGATCGGCAGCAAAAAATAGTCGGATGGAGATTTGGGAATCTCAAATAGATTAATTTTCTTTTGATATATTTGTGAAATAAGCAAATCCAATACCCAAGGGAATATATTTGTAAATATTGTTGTATGAATTAATATTATGAGTGTTACATTTTATACTAAAAGTCATGAACGAGTACATAGGGCTGGCTAGATTAGATTACATAAATCCATATATAGTGAAATTGTTGTAGACTAATAATGCTAAGGCCACAAAGTTAAACAAGCAAGGATTGTGAAATTGTGGCAGACACTATATCAGATGAGATCTTTGAGTTTCAAAATTTAGAGTTTTTTTTTGTAGTTCGATAATACTCTGAATGGCCTCATCCCATCGTCAATCTTCAATATCTCCACAATAGAGTAATGGAATTATATTTACACCTTAACTCGCCTAAAATGTCTCTCAAACAAGCCCTCAAAGTAATAGAGCTATACTTACACCTAAATCAGCCAAAAATGTCTTCCAAAAGACTGAGTTGACCAAAAAAGTCAACATAAGTTCAAAAGCCAAACTTGACTGGTTTGATTCAGTTCCGATTTTGATTTGTAACTTGAAAAGGTTGATCCAAACCAAACCGGATTAGTTGTGTTGATAAATGTCTAATTATTTAGGCCATGTCCAACTATTTCTGTAGGCCAACTAAAAAGGCCATATGTGTTTTCTAACCCAACTATTTGAATATAGGGGATGCACGCACGCATGCGACCCCTTCCTTTATTACAAGCCAAGTCCTTGCTACATTTCTTCTCCATTCAAGTGCACTTTGCCCTGCTCTGCTTGGTCAACTGGTCAACCACCAATCCACATTCATTGACAAAAAAAAAAGCTTCACCAACCCACCAACCAATACTCACAAACCATAATGACGAATGTGATTATGGGCACAATTAATGTGTACTAGTATCCTTAATGTCTCCACCACACTAAATTAAGCGTGAGTGGGAAGGGAAGTGCAATTCTCAATTCTGATATAAGCATACATTTGACTATGTGTCTCTTAATTGTGAGTGAGTGAGTGAGTGGTATTAGGTAATCTTTTCGGACCTTTTTTTTTGATCAAGGGAAACTCTATTCATTCATAATGGGAAACATTACAAAAAGAGAAAAACTCAATCCAAATGCAGCCCAAAACCAACGAATACAGCAGACCCAAAGAAACAACAAAGCCCAGAAAACTTTAAACAAAAAAACCCTAGAATTAGAACACAAAGCAGCCGCCACCCAAAGCAAGCCAACACCACCACCAGCCGATCCACCACCACCAAGGAGAAGTAAACGATACCAAGGGTACCAAAGAGGCCGACGGAAGATGGGGGTTAACAAATAAGAAAATGAGAATATTTTAATGGGCTGTTTCAGCAACTAGTTGATTCCTCTTTTCATTTTGTGAGGCTAAGAGGATCTAGTAGCAAATAAAACTTTTTAAACTGAAGTTTGTTGATCTATATGGTAATTTGAAAATCCTTATTTGTTACTTGAATAATTTTTACTATAACAGACTCTTTAATACAATTAATGTAATATCATAGAAAAAAAAATGAAAAAAATGAAAACATGTGAAAAATGTCTATGTATTTATTATATGAAAAAAAAATGCACGTTTTAAACATTTTCAATGTAAGTTTTGTTTTTTCGAAGTAAAATTAAATGTTTGAAGAGCCAAAATCAACTTACCAGAAGTGAGAGAAAAAAGTTGCAGCTTTAATAACTAAGGTTGAAGAAGTTATTTGAGAGAGTTTTTTTGATGTAGCTCACCTATTTTAGAATTTCAAAGGTATTAAAGAGGCTGTTGGAGATGCTCTAATGGTGTGGCAAACAAGATTGCAAACCTTGCTTTTGCTTTAACCGATTCGAACACATTAGTTGGGGTCCCTCCTCAGCTCATTCATGACGTATTGGTTGAAGATATGTTTTAACTTAACTGTTCGTTTCCTTCAACAACAAAAAAAAACAAATAAGAAATGAGAATTATTATAATGGTCGTTGCAATGAATGGACAAGTTGCATTTGGCTACTTGCGAATTTGTTCCTCCATGGCAATCATGTGCCCCACTCTTCGGCAATGGCAACTTGTTCTGCCTTCATAAATTGGCACTGCAACAAATTATTCAATCATACTTGTCTGTTTTCGGTGCTCATGGAGAGAAGTCGTTTCGTCTTGTCAATGACGTTGTTGCTGCTGCAGTACAGTTTTGTAGGCACAGGTGCAGCACAAACCAACATCACCACCGACCAGTCTACTCTTCTTGCTTTGAGATCCTATATCACTAGTGACCCTCACAACATCTTGGTCAACTGGTCAACCACCACCTATGTCTGCAACTGGATTGGCGTTACTTGTGGTGCTCGCCACCTCAGAGTAGTATCATTGAATCTCTCGTACATGGGTTTCACAGGAACCATTCCACCACACTTAGGCAACCTCTCATTCCTCGTTGCACTAAGCTTCAACAATAACAGCTTCCATGGTACTTTGCCTTATGAATTGTCATATTTGCGTCGCTTGAAGTTGGTTAGCTTCGGATACAACAACTTTATGGGATCCATTCCATCGTGGTTTGGGGCCTTCCCCAAACTTCAAAGCTTCTATTTGCATGGCAATCAATTTTCAGGTTCCATACCCGCGACTGTCTTCAACTTGTCTACATTGCAAGTAATTAATCTAAACAATAATCAACTATCAGGTACATATATGCCAACAAGTTATTTAGAATTTACTATTGATATACCGTTACGTTTTAGCATTTTGTTATTAATCTATAAGCCCTTTTTTTTTCTTTAGACAAATAGATTGCACGTCATGCAATACTAAAAAAACTCTCACTTGAATAGAATATGCATTTAAATTTTAATTTTGAAGGTAGTAATTAGTAAGGGTGGGTATTGGAACTGAAGAACCAATAAACCAAGCCGAAAAAACCTAGAAAAAAACCATGTTGACTAAAACATCAACTCTAGTTCAAGAACCAGACCAGTTTAGTTTGGTTACAGTTCCAGTTTGCATATTAAAAAAACCAATCCGGACTGATTGCATTTTTTGTTATAAAAAGATTCAATCCCATTCTTAATCCCTAGCCCAATACCAAATTCCAAAGCCCAAACATAAGCCCCAGGCCCAAGCCTAGTGCCCAAAGCCCAACCCTCTGTCTCCCAGTTTTGTTTGGCCTTTTTCTTTTTCTTCTCTTTCCCTTTTCCTTTTCCCCCGACTCTCTTCTAAGGGTAGGCACGGTTCAAATTAGAACCGATCCAGTACTATTCATCCGGTTTGGTTCGGTTCGGTTTTAATAAAAAAAAATCAAAAATTGTCAGGTTCGAGTTGAACCGATTTTGGTCAGGTCTGGTTTTGAACCATATTATAAAAATTATTATTTAATACAATTCTCAACTGAAATATTATTATTTTTACTTGAAAATTAACAAATTATTCAATTTCATATAAAAATAAATATTAAAGTTAGAAAAAAAAAGATATTTTGAAATTGAACTTGGATAAATATTAGTTTTTTTTTGTTAAATTAAAAATATAGCATTAAATATAAATTTATATTGAAATTATATATTTTTTAATTTGACTGGTTCGGTTCGGTCCTTTTCGATTTTTGAAGACATGGAATCGGATTCAAAACTGATCCAAATCGGTCTGGTCCGATTTTTGACTGGTTTTTGACTTTTTGGTCAACTCGGTTTTTTTCCGGTTTAGTTTGGTGTTGTTAGCCTGGATTTCCGGTTTGCCGGTTTGAGTGCCCACCCTTACTCTCTCCCCTACTTTTCTTTCTTCCTTCTTCCTGTTCCTTTTTCTCCCTCACTCTCGGGTCTCTTCTTCCTTTTATTTACTATCCTCTCATCTTCTTCATTTTCTCTTTTTCTCCCTCTCTCTCTCCGTCTCTTTTTCCTTTTTTTTCTCTCCCTCTCTCTCCTTCTCTTCTTCCTTTTTTTCCCTACTCTTTTTCATCTCTCTCTTTCTCTAGTGCAGTTTTCTTATCTTGCTATGGTTTATCTCATTCTCTATCTACAATTTTCTTTCTTTTTCTAGTGTTTTGTTTGTTTCCGTTTCTCTGTTCTCTTTTTTTAGATCGAAGATTATAGATATGTGGGCATATGTATTTTTGTTTGTATTTTTCCTTGCAAGTCTGATAGACCTAAGGCAAGTTTAGCAAGGTAGATATGTTATTGTTGATTATGTTTTTAGCTTGATTTAGTTGTATTCATTTGATTATGTTTGAGGTTTTTTTATGGTTCTAGGTTGCAGAGGAAGTGATTAGAGATGTGTATGTAAGAAAAAATAAAAATAAACCGCTAATTTGAAACCAAAATTGAAAGAACCGAACCAGTCTTTATAGTTTCGGATTGGTTCGGGTTTATCACTCATTTGAGCTAAAAACCTAATTAAACCAAATTAGACTAGATGAATAGTGCCAATTCTAGTTTCAATATTAAGTGAAAACCGAGCTAAATTGAATCGTGCCCAGCCCTAATAATTAGGTTTATTCATGTTGATTTTTTACTATACTCAAAAGCTTTTAGAAAATTTACATTTATAAAAGGCTTATTTACTGTAGTATTCTCTGAAATTTCGGTCAAATCTCCCTTTAACCCCCAAAGTTAAAGTGGCCTATTTAACCCCCCTAACCGTGGTTTAAAGGGCCCACTAATTTTTTTTTGGTTTAAGTGGACTAAAATATATAATGAAATAATGTAATTACTTGTTTAATTTAAAAAATTAAAAAATGGAAAAATGGAAAAATTATAAATGAAAGTCTTTCTTCTCCATCTCTCTCCCATGATCTCTCTCACCCCTAACTTCATCAACAACCATTGTAAGCCTGAACAATGAGATCTTTGCGGGTAGAGGTCAAAATCATGGGCAAAGTAATTGCTCGGACTACCAAGCTTCTTAAATCCCCTAAATTATTTACAAAATCACCCAATAACCCTAGCCCTACTCTACTGTAATTTGCATCAAAACCCTAACTAAAGCAAAAAAAGTTGAAAATTTCAGAGAAAGAGAGAGAGATCATGCGACACTAATATTAGTTTTCGAGGTCGTTGAGGAACTAGATCTAGGTGATCTTCAATTCGGCAACGTTCACTTCCGACTAGGAAGTAGACGACGCTTCATTTTTCTTCCTGGGCTCCTCAAGAGGGTTGTCCTCCTCGTTGGCCCAATGCTTTTACTCCGGTTTCACCAGCATTGGTGGCGTTGCTGTTTCTACGATGGCGGTGGTGGAAACGTTAGTCTCGACCATGTGGTGGTTGGGGTGGCTTTGGGTTATGAAGTTAGGGAGGGAGAGTTCAAGGGAGAGAGATGGAGAAGAAAGATTTTTATGTATTAATTTTTCCAATTTTTATATATATTTTTAACTAAACAAGTAATTATATTATTATATTATATATTTTATTCCACTTTAAAAAAAAGTGGGCCCTTTACATGACACATCATCACTTGTGGTCAAAAGACTAAAATAGCCATGTCACGTCATCACAACGGACAGAGTTATTAATGAAGATAACAGTAGGGGGTAAAGTGGAACACGAAACCACGGTCAAGGGGGTTAAGTGGGCCACTTTAACTTTGGGAGGGTAAAGTGAGATTTGACTGAAGTTTCAGAGGGCACTATAGTAAATAAGCCTTTTGTTGAGGCCTAAAAAATCCAAGGCTGCCCAAATATATTTCTAGCCTAGTACGACATCTAACTTGGGAAGAAACCCAACTTGGGTACGCAATAGTTAGTCATATGCGCTGGCACACGTTCCACGCCAAGCAAATAAGCAACACGCCACGCTACAAGCTTAAGTGGTCCCAAGCCACGCGAATGCCTGGGGCTTGCTGAGCAGGTTGTGGTATGGATGGTTACGAGTATTCACAAGGCTCATTGATGGTCCAAGGAATGGAAGTTTTGGGCTATTTGGGAGCACTAAAACTCAAGCCCATTCCTTGAGCCTAAACATATAGGTAAGCATGAGAGAAAACCCAATAGTCCATCACTTTAGGAAGCTGGCCCATTTCCTTAGTAAACTAACCCATCACCCTAGGAAGGCCCAAATGACCAAGAAAATGTCTGAAAGTCTCTAGCACATGGCTGGAGACAAAACCATGGCAAAAGCCAAAAGCCACTCACGTTTGCAGGCTGCTGGGAATCTCCAGCACATGGCCAAAGACAAATCCCAACACAAGCCATCAAAAAACCAAAGGATACTTAAGCAAAATACCCTTCAAACCAGCGCCCTTACCCATTTCTTTCTCCCACCAACTCTTGACATGGAAGAAGGAAGGAAAGAAGGTGAGGAGGTAGCCAAAAATGGGAGTTCATTACTGAAGCAGCTGCGGGAAAGCCTTAAAGCTCCCAAAAATCTTGTCTTTGTGTGTTTGGACAGAGGAAGATTTCACAAAATGGGATGAGTCAAAGGGAGGGAAGAGAAATGAAAGTGGAGACTTGGCAAAATTGGAGAGAACCAACTAGGGTTTTCTTGGGAAGAAGGAGCTTCCAGCACCTATAAAAGGGAGACACCTTTTACCCACCAAAACAACTCAAAAAAAGACAAGCAACCCACATAGAGAGAGCAAGCTTCATCTCTCATCCCTTAAACCTCTACAATTTCGAGCCTCATTCCTTTATCTTCTTCCATTTTCTCCTCTGGTAAATCGTTCTAGAGCTTGATAGAGCTTTCGTCAAGTTGTTGGAAACTACTCAACACACCCATTGTTATTCTCCCATCTCTCTCTCTTCAACGAACTCCTTTAGAATCCCTTCCCCTTGCCTTAAAAACTATGTTGCTCATAGGAAATCGCAACTCTTTCTCTCTCTCTCTCATGCTAAATTCATGAATGCTCAGCTCCCATGCCACAAGCTTCTCATGCCAAGCCAAGAATTTATCTATAAGCGACTGTTGGTTTCATTGGTGAAGAAGACCAAGGTGTTTCCTAAGGCTCAGCTACCCTTTCAAAATGTTCTTGGAATCTGATTCTTGAACTCAGACTCAAGAGGCAATTTCATACATTTGGCTCTTTACAGCAGCCCAGACCCATCAGTAGCTATCGGAATGAAAAATCCCCTACAACTTTATAAAACTAGGGATTACCTGTATGCTAAAATTAATGATAAAAACTTGATGGGCATTGAGGAATAATGACGTAGATTCTAAATATATTGAATTATGTATGGGGAATATTTAAGGGCGTTTCACATATAGCCTATTATAACATGATATTTCAAATTTTTTTTTAAAATTACCCTTCCAATCAATGGGGAATCCACATGGAGGTCATAGGGGTCAAACGACCCTTAAACAGCCCTGGAAATAGGCATGGAGGTCCTAGTTTTCTAGAGGTGTGACCCTTTAAGCTCCCCATCATTTGTTTGATGAAAAGCCTGAAAAGGAGGAAGAGAGCTCACTGGGAATAAGAAGAGAAGCTGCGCAGGTTTTTTTTTAATCGCCTGGCGGAACGACGTCATTTTTCTTAAGGCACTTCAAATATTTTTAAACAAACTACGTCGTTTTGCTGAGGCGTGCCGCATGCTTTAAAAAAACAAAAGAGTAGTAGCTCTTTAACGGTAGGGGGTAAAGTGGAACACGAAACCACGGTTAAGGGGGTTAAGTGGGCCACTTTAACTTTAGGAGGATAAAGTGAGATTTGACCGAAGTTTCAGAGGGCACTATAGTAAATAAGCTTTCATAAAACCAGGGACTACCTGTAGGCTAAAATTAATGATAAAAACTTGATGGGCGTCGAGGAATAATGACATAGATTCTAAATATATTGAATTATGTATGGGGAATATTTAAGGACTTTTCACATATAGCCTATTATAACATGACATTTCGTTTTAAAAAAAATTACCCTTCCAATCAATGGGGAATACATAGGGAGGTCATAGGGGTCAAACGACCCCTTAACAACCATGGAAATAGGCATGGAGATCCTAGTCTTTTTGGAGGTGTGACCCTTTGAGCTCCCCACCATTTGTTTGATGAAAAGCCTGAAGAGGAGGAAGAGAGCTCACTGGGAAGAAGAAGAGAAGCTGCGTAGGTTTTTTTTTTAATAGCCTGGCAAAACGACGTTATTTTTCTTAAGGCACTTCAAAATTTTTTTTAAAAACAAACTATGTCATTTTGCTGAGGCATGCCGCATGCTTTAAAAAAAAAAGAAAAAAAAACAAGAGTAGTAGCTCTTTACCTGACTCATACTGCCAAATGAGTTGAACTTGGGCTTCTAGAGTTGATAGACAAATTGAAATCATTTAAATATATTTGTCCAATAAAGAATAAAATTTGAAAGAGAACAAATAGATAAGAAAAAGGGAAAACTCAAATATTTTTTTTTGTGGAACATTTACACGATGACCTCTTAGGTTACGGATCCTAGATCCGCCACTGCTTCCAATCCAATTCTTTAGAAAAAAATTCATGTTGTACCTTCAAGTGCGAAAGTTGTAACATACTAAGAACCAATTAGAAAGTGACAAATAGCTAGTTGGGTTCTTTTTTTTTTTTTTTTTTTTTTTCTTCTTCACCCACCCATTAGGCTTTCTAAGAGTGTTTTTCTATAAATTAGATAGTTTTCTAGGGTTTTTTTTTCTTCTTTCTAATTTCCTTTATTTAAATGTATCATGAGTCTTTGTTTGGCATATATATCAGGTGGGATACCAAGAGAAATAGGGAACTTAACAATTCTGAAGGAGATACGCCTTGACTCCAACAATTTCAACGGTATATTTGTTGCATTGCCTTGCCTTGATGTGACCCAATTATATATATATGACTCTTCCTTTGTTACAGTTTATTATATGTGCATTAATCATGCTTTTGTGTGAATATCCGTATGATTTTCAGAAATTCCGAAAGAGATTGGCAATTTAGATAAGCTCGAGAGGTTGTATGTGCAGTCTAATGCCCTAAAAGGCCCTGTTCCTTTGGCTGTTTTCAACATGTCGTCTTTGATTACATTGGCTCTATATGGAAACAACTTGAGTGGTGGTCTTTTAGACAATATATGCCAGCATCTTCCTAGTATTCACGTGCTCAATTTGGGTCGTAACCACTTTGATGGTCCACTTCCATCCAAATTATGGCAATGCAAAGAGCTTCTTATATTATCACTGGAAGAGAACAACTTCAGTGGAAGCATACCCAAAAATATTGGCAACTTAACCCAGTTAATGGTTATTACTCTTAGCAGTAACAATTTGAGAGGTAATTGATATTTCATTATGTTTTTCAAAACTATATCTTTTTGGGTGGCATCATTTATCATTATTTAATTATTTTGTACTAGGTAACTAGACAAAAATTATTTCATAGTTAGTATATGAGGGAGACGTTAATCATGAATATGAATTATAAAGCAGAATAAAATAGATTGAAACTTGCCCAATAAACTAGGACATACAAACTGAAGAAACGTGTTTCGCTAAAAGAAATGACATTTTGTCCTTTCATCTCCATTACATAGGTCCTCAATTAATTTTTTTAGGGATTTTATTTTCATTTTAGAGATTTCCATTAAAATACTGTTGTATTAATAAACATTTGATACTGAAAGTTATGAACGAGTACATAGGGTAAGGGTTGGATTAGATTACATCAATCTATAAATAGTGAAATTGTTGTAGACTAATAATGCAAGGGTTGTGACATTGTGGCAGGCACTATACCAGATGAGATCGGTGATCTTCAAAATTTAGAGATTTTTACAGTCAGTGGAAATAATATGAATGGCCTCATCCCATCCTCAATCTTCAATATGTCAACCATCAGAGTAATGGCCCTTGATACAAATCCGCTATCGGGTAGCCTCCCAGCAAACATAGGCCTCGGGGTTCCAAACCTACAATTCTTTTACGTGGGAGCAACTGACCTCAGCGGAGTAATTCCCAACCTCTCCAATGCTTCTATGCTCATCAATATGGATTTGGGCAGAAACTCATTTACAGGGTTTATTCCAAGCACGCTCTGTGCCTTAACAAACATTGAGTCCATTAGATTAGGAAGTAATAATTTGACGATTGAGACTTCGACTCTCTCTTGTTTGGCTAATCTTGGAAATTTGAGAACACTAAGCTTGGCAAATAATCCGTTAAATGCTAGACTTGATGATTCCTTTTGGAATTTCTCTACATCGAGGCTTCAATCCATTAATTTACAAAATTCCAGCATGAGGGGTAGCATTCCCTTTAGTATTGGCAACTTGAGCAGCTTGATATCCTTAAGCCTGGAATACAATCAATTGAGTGGATCAATTCCAACTTCTGTGGGAAGACTTGGGAATCTCCAAGGTTTGTACTTGGGTTACAACAAATTGCAAGGGCACATCCCATATGAACTTTGTGAGCTATATAACCTAGCTGAATTGGATTTGGGTAGCAATCAACTCTCTGGTTCTATACCTTTCTGCTTGGGTAATCTAACTGCATCTCTAAGACGTCTATCACTATGGTCCAATTGGTTGAGTTTCACAATACCATCTACTTTATGGAGACTTGCCTATGTCATGTATGTAGACTTATCATACAATTCTCTAATTGGACCTCTCTCGGAAGATATTGGAAAGTTGAAAGTTGTGATAGAGGTACATTTATCATATAACCATTTATCTGGTATTATACCAAGCACTATTGGGGCTCTTCCGAATTTGGTTAACCTAACCTTGGCAAATAATAATTTCGAAGGCCCTATTCCAAGTACATTTCACGACTTGCTAAGCCTGAATCTCTTGGATTTATCTAGAAACAATCTGTCTGGAGTGATTCCAAGGTCTTTAGAAGCTCTCTTACTTCTCAAGTATCTGGATTTGTCCTTCAACAAGCTCCAAGGAGAAATTCCATCTGGTGGACCCTTCCAAAACTTCTCCGCTCAATCATTTGTCTCAAACACTGCACTTTGTGGTGCACCCCGACTTCATGTTCCACCATGCAAAAATGGTACACTTGAACCAAATTGGAGGAAAGCTAAATATATAATCCCGGGGATCATATCAGTAGTGCTACTAGTGGCCTCTGTATCTATCTTTCTTTTACGCAGAAAAAGGAATGTGGAAGTTCCAACAGAGTCTACCTTATTGTCTCAACTTCTTTGGAGAAGAGTTTCACACCTAGAACTTCTAAGGGTGACAAATGGATTTAACGAAGAAAACAACTTACTCGGAAGTGGGGGTTTTGGCTTAGTATATAAAGGGACACTTTCAGATGGAATAGATATTGCGGTAAAGGTTTTCAATTTACAGCTAGAAGGGGCTTTCAAGAGTTTTGATAGGGAATGTGAAATGCTAAGCAACATTCGTCACCGAAACCTTATCAAAATCATCAGTTGTTGCAGTGAAATTGACTTCAAAGCCTTGGTACTGCAATACATGCCTAATGGGAGCCTGGAGAAGTGGTTGTATTCTGAGAATTGTTCTTTGAATATCCTAGAGCGGTTGACTATATTAATAGATGTTGCAGCGGCATTAGAATACCTTCATCATGGTTATTCAGTGCCTATTGTCCACTGCGATTTGAAGCCGAGCAATATACTACTAGACCATGATATGGTTGCGCATGTTGCTGATTTTGGAATTGCAAAACTCTTGGGTGGAGGAGAATTTATGACCCAAACCATGACCCTAGCCACAGTTGGGTATATGGCTCCAGGTGATGTACTTGTTAGTTTGATATCTTTCGGTTCTATACATGTTGTCCTTAATCATGAAGAACTCAACTCATAATTTTCATTTCATCATACACATTGATATAATTCATATTGCAGAGTATGGAATGGAAGGAATAGTTTCAACAGGAGGGGATGTATACAGTTTTGGGATTGTAGTGATGGAAACATTCACAAGAAGAAAGCCAACAGATGAGATGTTTGTTGGTGAAATGAATTTAAAGCAATGGATTGCAAACTCACTAGTATTACCAGATGCAATGACAGATGAAGTTGTGGATGGCAATTTGCTTGGGATTGGGGCACAGCAGGAAGATGATGATCATGTGGGGAAGAGGGATTGCATATCAGCCATTATGAGATTATCTCTTGCTTGCTGTGCAGAATCACCAGAAGAGAGGGTAAGTATGAAAGAAGCTGTAGCCACACTCAACAAAATCAAGACAAAGTTTGTGAAGGACATTTCTGCAAGAGGTGTGTTGTTAAACCGTCCTCTTGTTCAGCGCTTCAATTAATGGACCTTAATTCAGACAAATATAGAGGAAGCCATGCCGTTTTGATTATAGTTGAGCCTGAATAACTGAATATTTTGATTACCAAAAACAAAGAATAACTGAATATTTCTGAAAAATACATGAAGAAATAAAAACTCAAAAGCTGAGAGATAGGGGGATTATTGGTCGCCATGGTGGCGGTGGCGACGATTTTTTCCTTGACTTAAATATGTAATGCTAAAAACTTCATTTGCTAAAGTTCAGTCAGGAACTGTGTTCATGCTTCTTACGGAGCTTCTCCATAATAATTTTGAAGTTAAAGGTTGATTAAGGACTTTCCAGCCTTGTTTACACCTTGCGTCACAAGTTAACATGAAAGCAAGCGTTCCTACTTTTCAAATAATACTTGCTATCATGTACCCACCCCACTCTTCTTTGTTTTGTTATCATATACATAACATTTATGATGGTAGTTGGACATATATCTATAGACAATGGATTAACCATATGTGAGTTCTTGCACATACGTGAAACAGATGCCCAATTCTCCATTCTTCCTTTATTACAAGTCGTTGCATTTCTTCCCCCATAGTGCAATCATGCGCCCCACTCTTTCGCAACTTGTTATGTCTTCATAGATTGGCACTGCCGTCTGCAACTAATATTATTCAATGATTTCAAGTTTTCAATCGAGAAAAAAAAGAAAAGCAGAAAACACTTTGAAGTTCGAACTTCTCTCTTTTCGGTGCTCATGGAGAGAAGTCGTTTCCTCTTGTCAATAATGTTGTTGCTGCTGCAGTACAGTTCTATAGGCACAGGTGCAGCACAAACTAACATCACCACCGACCAATCTGCTCTTCTTGCTCTGAGATCCCATATCACTAGTGACCCTCACAACAACTTGGTCAACTAGTCAACCGCCACCTTCGTCAACTAGGTTGGCATTACTTGCGGTGCTCGCCACCTCAGAGTAGCATCATTGAATCTCTCTTACATGGGTTTCACTGGCACCATTCCACCAGACTTAGGCAACCTCTCATTTCTTATTGGGTGGTGCTTAAGGAACAACAGCTTCCATGGCATCTTGCCCAAGGAAATGTCTTATTTGCGTCAGCTGAAGTTGATTAACTTCGGATACAACAATTTTTATGGGATCCATTCCATTGTGGTTTGGGTTCTTCTCCAAACCTCAAACCTTCAATTCGTATGGCAATTAGTTTTCAGGTTCCATACCAACGACTATCTTCAACGACTATCAGGTACGCATTTATCAATAATCTATATAGGAATCTACCATTGATTGATCATTATGTTTTAACATCTTGTTATTAATCTATAAGCCTGGTGTCTTTTTTTCTTCAGAAAATTAGGGCAATTTATACTTACTTGTAGGTCATCCAACGCTAAAAAACTCTCACTTGAATAGATGATGGATTTGGTTTTTAATTTTAAGGGTGGTTGAGTCTATTCATATTGGCTTTTTGCCATACTCGAAAGCTTTTACAAAACTTATATCTATGAAGCTAGGGACTATAGATTGTAAATAATGAATAATATATGAGCAATATTTATGGGCTTTTCACATAGACGCCCATTTATAACATGAAATTTTATAAATAAATACTAAAAAAAACCCCTTCAATTTCAATATTATAGACAAACTTAATATTGTATCTTCACTACTATAAAACCTCATTATAAGCCACAAGTTGTTGTGGCCTATAATCATGTTGACCACAAACACGTAATTGTTGATATCAGAGGGTGTCGGTGGCCTATGAAGTGCTGGGTCTCACCTAATTTTTTGGCCAAGTAAATTTAAGTTTTAGTCACACAAAAATTTTCACTTTTGGAAAAAGCTAAAACTTTTCCAAAAAAGACAAAAAAACTCCTTAACTTTCAAATAAAAAACATGCAAATGTAAAAGATTCCTTAGGAAATCCAAAAACAAATAAGGGCATTTTTGTTCATTTTTGCTTCTTTTAAAAATATTTATCTCTCCTTTGGCCTTTTCCAAAATGTCCTTTTTATAAAAAAATATTTAAAAATAACAATACTAGATACCACGAAATAATTAATTTTCTTTGTAATTGTACTTTCTAGATGCACGTGTTTCTTAAATCTCTGAAAACTTCATATAGTAAATACAAATTGCAAAAGAAAAAAAATATTCGTAAGTGGCACGTTGTGCGCTTGATTAATAAAAGGCCTCTCGTACACGCTTGTGGATAAGAATATGATGCATGCTTGAAATCCAAAAAATAAAAAATAAAAACTGGAAGAGTTGCAAAATTAAGCAAAGAATGTGTGCACTGATTTGAGATAGTAAGAAATTAAAAATGCGGAAATCCCTTGATCACTGATTTCAGACATGTTACATAGAATTAGAATCACAAGAAGATAAAAAAAAACATATCCTAGTGTATAGGAAAATAAATGGGGGCTAAACATATCCTAGGTATATTTTGCCTACCCATTTGCATCTTCTCTTGGAACATGAAAATGTTGATGTGGCAAGGCAAATTAGTTTTGCCTACTCTTTTTGTTGGAAAAATTGGCTCACCTAAGGATACAAGGCTAGGGGAAAGCGACCAGTCGCTAGGCATTTGCGACTGGTCGTTATGAGGCAGAGTGTAGCTGATCGAATCTACCTAAAAACAACTGGTCGCTGAGCCTTGGCGATCGGTCACCATGAAGCAAAATGAATTTGCCTAAAAGCGACCGGTCGCCAAGAACTTAGCGACCGATCACTAGAGACTTTGCCCAAAAGCGAACGGTGGCTCCAGTCGTGCTGTTTAGGGAAAGGAGGACCCCTCCGAGTTGCCCATAGCCCAAGTAGCGATTGGGGACGTGTAAAATAATAGTATAACAGTTGCCGAGCTATAAAAAAAAAAAAAAACCCAAAACCCCAAAAAAGCAGTAAAAAGAAAAGGCAGGCTAGGTGCTGATTTTAAAAAACAATCCCGAGTATAGATACTTTATAGATACTAGCCTCTCCGCACGCGTTTCCGCCCCTGCGAAAGGCTCTTTTAAAAATTAAAAAAATAAAATAAAATATATTTTTAATTTTTAATTTTTAATTTATTTTTAAATTAAAAAAGATAATGGGTAGTTTTGTTCCATAAAAATATGATCCATTATCTGATTTTTCTTTTAATTTTAATTTTTTAAAATATGAAAAAGTGTGAATTTACCATATCCTCATTTAATTAATAATTTCAATTTTTAATGTTTGCATTAACCATGACATTTTATGATATTTTGAATATTTTACCATTCTATGCCTTTTGCTTTATATATATATATATATATATATAGATTAATTTGCTAGTTTTGATATATATACTTTATAGATTTAATTTTTTTAAATATATATTATTTGTATTCAATAATATGCCAAAATTATATGTATATAGCAAATCATAGTTTTATTTCATATAGGTAAATTATATGATGTAGCAAATCATAGTTTCATTTCATACATACCATCCAATGCTGAACTCGTTTTTATTGAGTAGGTGTAAAATGTAAATAGTGTGATACAAGTAATTTAAAGACTTGCTAGCTACTTGTAATTTTTCGCTTCAATGTAATTGATATTAGGTGCCATCTAAATTCTAATGACATTTATTTTAGTTCCAGAGAAAAAATTAAGATATTGGAGGATGCTAAAAGGTTAATATCTAGGATACTGCAGCTTGTTTTATTAATTATTATCATGATAATTACAAGATTAGCAAGTAACTATTGAAGTGGTAATTGTTGAGTTCTTGTGTTGTACTTCCTAGTGTACAAAGTATACGTGAACGTAGCATACCCTCCAACAAGAAACAAATTAATTGTCTATTGGTTTCTCCAACCCACATGACTCCTCATTTTGTTCAATGACGATTACATTTCACTTGATAATATATGCTTCGCACGGTCGCACTAGCTATTTTCGTCCATTTTGTTATTCTGGTTTGTGTAAGAAACATGAACAGAGTTCTTAAATTTTCCTCAAAATCTCAAAATTGGTCGCCCATTTGTCGGTTTGTTAAGTGTATTGGTTAGATTTCCAGTCATGTAATTTAATAGTTTAATCCAAATATAAAGGTTGACCCTACATATACTGACACATATATTAGACAATCATATTCATATGTGACATATAAGATCATCCATACATTTTGTTCTTTTGCATTTCACAAATATCATTGTATACTCTTTCATGACAAAAAAAATTTAAAAGTGCATTGGAATTAATATTTGCACGCAACTTGGTTGATGATCATATTGCAAGAGAAAAAGGTTCAAAGCACTGTGGTCATGTAAAGTCTTGAATAATCGCAAGGTTTCTCATCCACACATTGTGGCCAAAGTGATTTTGATATTTTCCTTTCCTCAACTTCTAATTTATTTACTTCATAACGTCCCCAATCATATAGACTTTTGATACTATAAACTTTTCATTAATTTATATATATTAATTAATAACAGTATTTGATTATTTTTGAATTAAATTACGTTGTATATAAAACCGTTTGATATTTGACTGTTGATGATATATGCAATGGATGCAAAAGAGGTTATTATGAACTTTCAAACTTTTGAGCAAAGGTGGTCGGTGGACGGTGCTTTAGTAGATGAAGTCAAAGACCTTTTTATTCTTTTTGCTTGCATTTTTTGTCAATTTGCTTATCGGAAGTGTAATCAGGTTGCTTATCTATTAGGTAAGCATATGCGCTTTTGTCTCAAGATTTTCAAGTTTGGCTAGAGAATCTTACTTTGTGGATTTTTGATGTTTTGGCCAATGACAAGTTATTTTCTTAATTTTTTATTTTATAATGGTTGTGATGTTGTGGTTATTTTTTTTTATAGCCAAATTTTCTTCCATTTGGGATTTTTTAAAGGGGTCACACTCACAGAAGTCCAGTTTTTATTTTTGTATCCTGAAATCATTGTTTCAATGAAGTTATCTTTCTTTGATATAAAATAAAATAAAATAAAATAGAGGTAGACATAAGATAATGAACACAAAT